CCTCATCTGTGGAGTGCTGCTGCTGGCTTCGCTGTGCGGCAGTGTCCGACCCAAAGAGCGCTTCATCTCCATAGCCATCGCGAGCCGGACTGATATTCTCGCCACTGTCTGCGCTAGCACGCGGCGCTCTGTGCACATCTCGGGGTGGATACTGGTGAACGCGCACATCGTCGAACAGCAAGTAGATGTTCAACAGCGTAAGTGCTCCGACCGCGTAGAGTACAACCCGTGCAGCGTCCAGCACCATTCTTCAGCCCCCACTCCGCACTCAGCCAATCCGATCCGATCAACAAAAGCACAGCATGAAAAAAATTCATGGAAGATCAAAAAGCGTGAGGAGGAAATAAACAGGTTCAAACTCGAAGACGTCAACAACAAAATGAGGCAATCGATCAGTCCCTATGCATATGCCACCCGGCATATGGCGTTTATTCTTATTTCTCAACTTTTTGGCCTGCACTGCTGCAGCAGCACAGCCACAGGCACAGGTACTCTGGTACTAGGTGGCACCACCGCGCCGGCACCACATTGTTGCATGGTCAGTGCATGCACCTCATTCCTCAGCTCAGTCATCACTCGACTCCTCAGGCTCAGGATCACGTGCAGCGCGTTGACCAGAAAACTACAACGGTTACGTACAACTACAAGTAGGCACTTCAGTCACGTGACATGACCTGTCAAAAAGTGCTAACGCTGAATCGCGTACATGCGTGGCACCAAGGAAAGGCGCATGCATAGATCGATCTGTAGCTGCACGGAAGCTGCGCAGGGCCTTCTCGTGTGGCGCAGCATGTAGCTGAGGCCCTCAGCTTTCGTTTGAGCCCACATACGTCATGATGCGGCAATTTTTTGAACTCACGTACAGTTCGAGTAAAATCGGCAAGGATTTTTCGGGCATTTCACTTGTAGTACTGGGGCCAATTCAAAAAATCGACCTCTAAAATACATGCCTTGACACATGTTGGCTAACAAGGATTTTTCGGTGTTATTTGATAGATAATGTCTTCAAGAGCATCTTGGCCCAGTATGGCGAGTCCAATCGCGTCCAAAGGTCCCGAAATCACCCTCGATAGGAATACAAAATTGCCGAAAAAACTAAGTTCTCATCGGCTATATTCAAGCATTTTCAAGACTTTCTCGGTACTATATTGACTGGACCTGGGAGTTTTTACCCTTTTATGTGCCAGGAGCTATAGTAACACCGTACATACACAGGATGCGAACCGACGCGTACACTGATTTTGTGCGAGAGTTGGAAAGATTGAGCATCAAGTACCGTAGTGTAGTTGTGACATACCAGAAATGTGTTACCTCGTTTGGACACTTTCTTCAAAGTTTTGCATTGACTCGCTGGTGCTTTTGCTGTCGGAACGTCCACGAATGGATCGATGCTAAATTCAGCAGAACCTTCATTACAATGTCATCTTGGCTCCCCGGAAAAGTAGGCATGATTCCAACAAGGAGCAGCACAACAATTATGTGTGGAAAGCAGGGGAAAGTCATCATAGCTTGCCAAGCCAGTTGTAACTACTTGTATTCGTAGGACTAATCTACAACCGTGGAAAGTTTCAGACCTGGCTAACTTCATCGGGCTGGAATGAAGGCATTTACTTTGTGAGTACTGCTGCACAGGAGGTGTTACAGTGGACGAGCATTTGATTCGAATCTACAAGAGCGGCTAGTGTTAGTACCATGATTTGAACACACCGACCGTGGTGATCAGCTACCATTATCACAAAGCCTATTTGCCAGCTCAACAGCTCTAGGACAACTGCCTTAGGAGTGCCATGCTGCAGTGAGAGGGAGTAGCTATGTGGTGTGGAGTGTTACAAAAACGAAATCCGAGTACCTGGAGGTAACCTATCCCAATATGCAACACCAGCAGTAGAAGAATCATTTCCTTGTCGCAGAATTTGATGGCTGGGCCTAGGCAGTGTGAAACTACAGTTATACTTATAAAACACTAACTGCAAGAAAGAGTCCGATGTCCAATGTCGTGGCTTGTCTCTCCTGAACTGATCACGGCACGTAGTTGATGCGATTCAAGAGCGGTGGTGAAGAGGGAAAACATGTTCATGTAATACCTCATGAACTAGTGGCTAAAGAATTGTCCCTGACTGCAGAGCCAATAGTGATGGTGTAGGTGGCGGAGTAGAGATGGGCTCAGCTGTACGGCGTAGAGTTTCGAAGCTCAGACGGAAGAACAACTTCAGTTAAAGTGAAACACATGGATGCTAAATATGGTGGTAAAGACACACCTGGCAATATGGCGGTAAACACACGCCTGCCCACACATGCTCTCTAGGCTGCAAAGTTCTGGCACAGAGCTCTCCTTCTCACCACCACCACCATCAGTTCGCGCCTGGCGCCTGGCCGATGCATGGCTGGCGGTATCCGGCATAGCAGGCTGGTACATCAAGTAGCGCATGGCACATAGATGATGACACAGCAACGACATAGCTCGATTGCGACGTACGTTTCGTCCCCGCTGGACTCATCAGGCAATCTTCTTCTTGGATGTCTTCATACGGAGCTTGACTCGGGAGAATGAAGTTGAAGACACCACTGCAGCTGTACTTATGGTTGCTAAATATGGCGGTAAAGACACACCTGGCAATATGGCGGTAAACACACGCCTGCCCACACACGCTCTCTAGGCTGCAAAGTTCTGGCACAGAGCTCTCCTTCTCACCACCACCACCATCAGTTCGCGCCTGGCGCTTGGTCGATGCATGGCTGGCGGTATCCGGCATAGCAGGCTGGTACATCAAGTAGCGCATGGCACATAGATGATGACACAGCAACGACATAGCTCAATTGCGATGTACGATTCTCCCAAAACACATGGAAGCGAAAGTATTCGCATCACAATGTTGGGATCGATCAGCTTTTTAAACTGCAGCTATTCACATGTGAGCGTTGTCCAACTGCAGCCTTGAATGACAAGCTAGCCAATGTTTGGACTGTTTTATGCAAAGGATTTTGGTATTTTCATTTTCATCATTTTTCGTTACAGCACTGCCATCGCATACAAGTAGTGTTGTCCTTCTTACATTGCTGCAAGATCTATCGTATTATCTACACGTACTTCGAGTAAATTAGTTCAGGTTGAAACTGTCCTATAGCACTTCGTTCCTTAGACTCTGACAGTTTCCTACCACCTTTTCCTTCTCCTGTTAGTATTTGGGTTACAATACCTATTCTCTCAGTTGAAGTGTAACGCCGAACCGTCTGACGCTTCTCTCGTATTTGCAGTCTGATTATAGTAATGCATGCCTGTAAATAGTCTCATGTACCTGCTAGCTGCACGTACATGTACACGTACCTCAATGCTAACATTCGACGCGACATGTACTGTGCATGTACATGTCCAATAGCCAAGTTTCACTGCACCTTGGAAATTTTGTTTTGACACTGTTAAAGTACAGTACTTGTTGCCGTACTGTATCTACTGCTTATTCTGAGCAAAATGAGGTGCTACTTGGCCATATACGTGTCAGTAAAAATGGATATAGGAGCAATTCTAGTTGGGTTGCTATGGTAATAACGGCCTTTTCTATTTTGATGTTTTTCACCATGTTCGGACACAATCCGGCAATCGAAACCTATGCCATCGTGTTCAGGAGGCAAAAACCATCCAGGAATGATCATAAAATCTATGTTAGCAAACATGTGTCAAGTAAAAGTGAGAAATTTCAAATGGGCCCTAGGACTATTGGTTGCACGCATTTGCCATGTAGCTCATCGTCTTCAGCGTCGTATTTCCTTTCGGGATCAGTTGTCCTCGTTCGTCCGACACTTTGCGCATTGCTGCGCAAGGAGAAATAATGCGAGGTGTTATTGGAAGCGAACCGCGACAGGCGTCCTCCCGGCAATAGTCCTTGTTCGTCGGAGCCCATGCGCATGGCTGCGCAAGAAGAAATATTGCCAGGTGTTATTGGAGTCGCATCGGAGGAGTCGTCCTCTCCTGCAGGCGACGAGTAGGACAGTATATACTTCGGCGACTGGACCAAGAGAGCTGACATCAAAACGGCCTGCTCGGAACAAATCGTCAGCTGATCAGCAGGTGGCTTCCAGCGACCAAGAAAAGCATTGACGGTGATATTATACCAAGAATCCAGCACACATTCTATGCACAAAATCTCTCATGCTGGAGTTGCTGAAGTTTCAGTAGTCCCAAAAATTTGCAGACGATGTTCTATTGTAATAGTTTGTCATTTCTTTCCGTCAAATACCCGGTAAATTCTAGTTTGCTCAGTCTTCGGCTCATTTTTCTTCCGTGCTCATCACCAAGTCAGTACTGTACATGTAGCAACAATGTTTTCTGGCACTGAATTATTGTAGTTACTTTATCTTACCTCAAAGTCTCATCTTATGCTTTTCCGAAGGCTTCTCTGCACTGTTTTCATGCTGTTGCGATGGAGTTGCTATGCTGTTGCTATGGAGTTGCCATGGTGACCACACCCGATATCTTCGTCGGAGCTGCCGGACGGATGAAAAATCCGAAGTTTTTCCAAACCATGCTGTTTCTGCATTCATCTGGTTATTTTGACCTGCTTCCAGCGAGCCTGGTATTTTGCCACTATAGACACTGAAGCAAGTTCTGCCAATTTCTGATATGCTGCTGGTGCCGTCGAAATACTGAAAATGCCGTTATTCAATTCTCCGACTTTGGGTGGCTATATCTCTGTGCTAAGTTATTCTTTTTGCTTCAAATTTTCTGTGGAGTCTTCCTAAACCTATCTGAATCAGATACAAAAAAGAAATACGCGTATTTCTCGTTTTGAAAAAATCGCCTGAAGTGCCTACTACAAGTAACAGACAGTTCAGTAGTAACACCATGTCCATGTCCATGTCCATGTCCATGGGCACGGCGGACGCTGACAACGACACTCGACAGCGTTCACACATGCGGCTACTTGTAGAGTCGTAGATCTACTGGCTCGAGTGCGATCGCGCGCCCTCGACTCAAGTCAAGCCAAAAGTCTGTACCCTCGTACTCGTGCAGCACTGTGACGTTCCCCCAGGATTTCTCTAAAAGGACAATCGAATCATACTACTTACTAGCAATTGTCAAACACAATGTTGAATGTCCATACTATTGTTAGGGACGAGGAGCTACAGTTGTGAGAGTATTCAAGCCTAACTGCAGTCATACTTCAGAGGTCTGCCCCGTTGCAAGACGAGACTGTTTCCAGGCTGCTGAGTGCTGACATCGCGTAGGGTGAGCGTGCAGGACTTGGTGCGCTGCTAGCAGTCACTATCACTCAGAGAATGTTTGGTACAATGCCATGCAGTTGTGCACAGTCAGTGCACACTGCAGCACAGTCCACTTAGTCTTTCACCTTCAATCAATTAAATTATTTGCCAGTTTAATACTACAAAAAATAGTCATTTAATATTGTAAAAATGTCTGATCTCCTGGAGCGTTTCAATGGGCAAGCATGCGTGCATATAGCGCCTTGCAGTCTGTGATTGCAGTTGTAAGACACACATGCAGCATTCAATCAAGCACATGTTTATCAGTAAAGAGTGTACAGAGTGTACAGTAGGCCGTGTCAATGAGTGCTCCCTTATATAGAAAAATACGTGACTGTGTGTGCGCACACAACTGAACACACACATGTTACATTTATGCCAGTCAGTCTCTGATCTCACCTGCATGTAGTAGTGCAATGAAGCACCCAATAGAGAGGTTCCGCACAACGTAAAGTTGAGCAACTTTACGTTAGTGGGCGGGAAAAACCCGTGAATTCGCGAGTTTGCACTCCACTTACGGAAAGTTGACTACGGAGAGTACGTACATAGGGCTCTGATAACGTAGCTGGTCCGTAAGTGGATTAGGGTACAAATTTATGACTCTCTCCCCAGGTCGATCTGGTCGTACACTGCCGCGTTCGGAGTTGCCAAGGGCAGCTACGTGATTTGAAAACTCCGTATGGCGGAACCCAGATGCGCATGCAGTTTACGTAAGACTTTCCGTAGATCGACTACGTTTTTTACTAACGTAATTACGTTATGCGGAACCTCTCTATTGCTTGTCCGTTTTTCCCCAAATATGTCATACTCGGTTATGCACTCAGTTATAAATCGCACCCAGTTAAAACTTATACGTCAGTCGCACTCGGTTGACAGTCGCACACCATTTGTATCCCCTTCTTTGCCCTTGAAGTTTAGGCTAAAAGGGTGCTACTTATGTTCGGGGAAATATGGTTTGCTGACGAGCAGGCATGGGGCATGTCAGGTAACAGCGAGTAGTCCATGTCTCTAGTTGAGAGAGAGAGAGAGAGAGAGAGAGAGCGGAGTCTGTTGCATTCCTTGCCTTGGCCACAACGTGCACATGTTTGAACTAATCATGTAAAGGGAAAAAAATGGTTATGTCCTCGGGACTCTATTCACACTCGGCATGCATTGTCTCTCAAGCACCAGGCACAGTAAGACACTCTGGTTTCCTTACATGATTAGTTAGACCAGAACTTAGCAGAAGCAAAAGAGAACGACACCAGGAGTGCGCATGCACACACACACAAACACACACACACACACACACACACACACACACACACACACAGATGTAGATCAAGCACACATCATAATATTATGACTCAGCATGCAGCACATGTATACAACAGTGGTGTTACCCAGGGGTGTAGCGAGCACATGTGTGGTGTGGTGATCATGTAGCACTGCCAACCTCATAGTATCCATGTACTTGATTGATGATTGATTGATTTTATTTGGATCCGTGAGACTAAACGAGCAGGAGTGCTCAATAACAGGGTAGCGGATGGTTGAGTTGTGCTATGTGACAATGTAGTGTGTGCGTGGGGTGGTACTTGATCATGTGTGTTTGCAGGCGGGCCTGGGCAATGAACGGATGTCTGGCTGAAGGGACAGTGTGTTTAACACATGGGTAGAGCCGTGTAGCGGAGCACAGTGGGCAGCTGCACGCCGAGCGGGGAATTCCCTACCTGTCACACCGCTACCAGTACCCGTCGCTGATTCGCTGCTGCAGGAAAGTGCTCACATACAACGGGGGACCTCAGGAAAGCCCAGCACTCTCGCAACAGGACTAGTTGAGCATCTGTGTTGACTGGTACGTTGACTGTGACTTCAAACAGCACAAACAAGTCCTTATTGGAGCAAGTCTTTGACAAACAAGTCCTTATTGGAGCAAGTCTTTGACAAACAAGTCCTTATTGGGGCAAGTCTTTGACAAACAAGTCCTTATAGGGACTGGTCTATTGTGAACAAGTCCTATTTGGAACAAGCCTGTTACAGGCACGTCTTTATTGCAACAGTAAAACATGCCAACGGCAATGCACCTTTCACGGTACGTAGTGTGCTTGTTCCTGGCGACCCTGCACGCCATACAGCCTGGCGCCAATGCCGGTTTGTATCGTAACGTCACACTGCCGGTCGGGCCGTTCATCGCCCGTCTGCTGCTGCCGATGGAGGAGGAGGAAGGCGATCGCGTCGCCACCGCCGACCAAACTGACAAACAAAACGTCAGTGCTAGTGCATCTGCATCATCATCATACACACCGCCGCAGTTAAGCATCTTCGACGTCGTCACCGGCCGTACGCTGTGGTCGTCGCCGGAGTACACCAGCTTCCTGACGGCCGCCAAGGGCGAGTTCTCGGCCAAGCAGAACTCCGGATACTTTGTCATCGATAACGACATTCGGGACACGTGTGAGGAGCTGAGCATCCTTTCGTGGACTAGCGGAGATTCGAGTACTGCCCGAATGCACGATGGCACTGCTCCAAAGGAGGGCGGTGAAACAGATCCCCACAATATGGAACAAAGCAGCAAGGACAGTGTAGACTCAAGCGACACCAATAGGCAAGACACCGTTGCAGAGAACATCCCCAGTGAGTCTGATTATACGGACGACAGGCAGGGCTCCAGCAGCACTCATCCAGCACACAGCGCAGAGCAGCTCGCATCCCGTGTGACACTGTACGGAACGCTGTGCACAATCCATCCGGTGGAGGTCACTCTCCAGGCGGTGCAAGTGGAAGAACATGATCAGCTGATAGTGTCGGCCACCATACTCGGGGTAAGTCCTATCACCGATGCAGTGGCTTTTAAGGGTGACTAGTTCATGGCATACTGTACAAGCAGAAATATTCGTCTGGAATTTAATTTTGTCTTTTTCGTCCAAGGAGCTTTTAGGACTAAATTACATGCCGGACTAACGTCGATTTGTCCAGCTCTTCTATACACTCTTATGATCCATGGACGAAATTTTCAACCGGACGAACTCCCATTCTATGGAGTTGGACGAAATTATTGACCGACGACATTTTCTGCCTCTACAGTACCCGGAAGCCAGGCAATGTAGGTATTGTCCTTTTAGGTATTGTTCTTTTAGGCTATGGTGCGCAAACCCACGTTAACGCCGAGACTATACGTGTACATCGTGTTGTGGGCTTGCCTCACCAGCACAGGCTTGCTTTGCAGTCCCTACTCTCCCTACTCTCCCTACTCTCCCTGCTGTTTTGCTATTGTATATTATGTTGTGTAGATTTTTGGTTAGAGGAAAGCAAATCAGCACACGAAGCACAGAGGCCATAATAATTTCGACCAGGCCTTTCGTACCATTGCTCTTCAAGTCGAATACAATGCTTGCTACCTTGTTAATCACCATTGTATTCGACTTGAAGAGTAATGGTACGAAAGGCCTAGTCGAAATCGTATGGCTTCTGTGCTTCGTGTGCTGATATTCTGTTGTCTTCTCCCCTTCTGACGAGTAGATTTGTACTTTCAAAAAAACCGAATAAAGTAATGTAGATACGGTCAAACTAGGATCGATGCTTGGAGTGGAGGAAGATATCAGTCGGAGAAAACGTCTAGCAACATGTGCCTTACATCAGCTGTGGGTGATATGGCTGAGAGGTAACCATGCCCGTGAACCCCTTCGGATCAGGTTATACAGCAGCTTTATTCTTCCAATACTTCTTTATAACTGCGGAACATGGAGCCTGACAGAGACTCAAGAAAAGAAACTTGACTCGTTCCACCGCCAGCAGTTACGAGCAGTCATAGGGGTCAAATATCCCCGTATAATACGCAATGAAGCACTGTACAAGCGCACTGGCTCCAAGCCACTCAGCAGAATCATCCAGTCTGCTAGGTGGAGAATGCTTGGCCACGTGCTTCAACTAGACACCTCATCTCCGGTCTAGCAGCCTATGTCAGCATACTTTCAGGCAGGAAGCTCAGGGTTCCGAGGCCGCCCGAGAACAACCCTCCCGCGAACTATCAACAACGACCTGAAAAATTCCAGATCCACAAACTCCCTCACATCACACGAGGATCTAGTTGCACTGAGGCAGCTTGCCCAGGATCGTCGAAAGTGGAAGGAACTAATGTGTGCTGTGTGTAGTGGCTGAAGTTATACAATTACACTAGATACTCTAACAATAATATCTAACAATAATTACACTAGATACTCTAGATACTAGGTACTATAGATACTAGATACTCTAACAATTTTATCACTAATAATTACCACATCAAATGCTGCAGAGACCTATCCAGAATCGGCCATACCAGCGCCCTGGCCTGGAGATCTGCAACTGCAATCGGTTTCTACTTTGCAATATTAACGGATTAGTCCCCTTTGTCGATTGATGGATCAATCGGTACCAACGCATTCGTAACTCCGATTAGTAACTTCGGCTCTGCTCTGTTTTGAACTGTATACGTATGTTTAACTCATTGGATTTCTTTGTATTCTGTATCTCGTTATCGTTATCTTTTCCTCTAGCCCTCTCGCTTAGGATGAGCTTTCTTTTTTATGGCAGCTTAAGCGAAGGCTATATACCTGCTTTATGCAGGTTGATGCCAACGCGAACAAGCAAAAGAATAATAATAAGATATGTATAGGTAGTAGAGATGTTCCACACTGCGTAGAGTTGACCAACTTTACTTACGTTTGGCGGGGAAAACCCGTGAATTTGCGAGTTTGCACTCTAATTTACGGACAGTTGTCTACGCATAGCACGTACGTAGGGCGCCAGTAGCGGAGGTGCTCAGCGAGTGGAGTGAGGCACAACTGTATGACTCTCTCCCCAGGTCATACGTGCTCGTATCCTGAGTTGCCGTGTGCAGCTACGTGGGTCGAAACTCTGTATCACGGATCCGCATGCAGTGCACTTTCCGCAGATTGACTACCGTTTTTACTATTGTAATTGCACAGCGTGGGATCTTTTTTAATGCAGATATATGTAGATATTGCTGATAATCCAGGCAATGCAGGCACAGTACAGGCGCGTGTCCCGTATGGGTTCCTGGGTGCCCGGAACCCCCCTTTTTCCGCTCAAAATGCAGGATTTTGCTTCATTTTTTGAATATTTTCCCAGGGGAGGACCCCCCGAAGCCCCCCCCCCCCCTTGAAGGGCACCGCCGCATGCGCCTGCAGTGAAACTCATATCCGGACAAGTTCGGATTGGGCACTGGCCATAACAAGGAATTGCCCGCAATGCACGACATGCATACAATGACGTATGTACAGTAAAACCTGGTTTAAATTAAGCGACCAACACCCCACGGTGCACGCAAAAACGGTCGTTAAAGCCAGGACTGGTGGTCTTTAGAACCAGGCCCCACAGTGTCTGTGTAGAACTGTCGGTGCATGGACAAACGGTCGTTACGAGCAGGTGGTCGCTAAACCCAGAGGTCGCCTACACCAAGTGTTACTGTATGTCATACTGATTGCATGCAAGTCAACATCCTTTATGACAATCAATAGTTTTGCGGAGCCGTTAAAAAGGCGTAAGACGCGGCAAGTGCCAAATTGGAGGAATTGAGATTTTGAGCTCAGTGTAATCAGCAGGTCCAGGGACACCTTCCTGCGAAATTTCGCATTAAAATCTGACTATAACCACCTCAAAAATGGTACTGTACCCGCATATAAAGAGAATCCTTTCTTGGCCATTTCTCGAAAAGTGATGAAATGGATATGTCGCGTTTTGCGTCTGTTAAAAGTTTGTAGCACTACCATCGTCTGGTGACTGGAACGTGCTTGTCAGCTGCAGATATTGTTACCATGGACCCCTTTTGCCCCCATCAGATTCACACGATACTCGCTGTAGATGCTGCCTCCATGGAAGTTGCTCTGTTCCCATCAAGCTCGCACCAACACCAGCAGTTCGCCACCACGGAAGTTTTTTTCAGACTCACACCCACACCAGCTGAAGGTTTTGCCACAAGGGAAGGTTTTGTTCCTCCCATCAGGTTCACGCTGATACCCGCACAGCTTTTTTTGTATTTGGGAAGTTTCACTCAGTGTGTATTTGGGAAGTTTCACTCAGTGTATGCTGCAAACGGTGGTGAACTAGAGTAATCCCAGCTAAGTTGGCACTTTCACGCTAGCACCATGCCTGCCCGCTATGCATTCTCGCTCATGTCAAACCAGCCTGCCCTGCAAGGCTGGTTTGACATGAGTGCCTACTGCTGCTGGTGGTCAAAACCCGTTCTGCTCTCATCCAGTATGTTGCGAAATTCGATACGCTTATTATTTGCACCCGTTGTTGTCTCTGGTCTCGCTGTCTTGTCCTGTCCGGTGTCAAATATGGTCTGCTGTCTGTACGGGTGTGGTGCGTGGTGTGCAGTATATGGGTGTGATGCGTATGACGTGGTATATGTGGGGTATGCCTTGTCAGAGTGTGCGGATCTGCTTCCGCCTGTGTGAGTGCGTTTGTCGACTAGTTGTTGCGCATGCGTGGACTATGTGGAGCATGCGCTGTGCGAGTCAGGTTCGGGTGCGAGGGAGTGGTGTGATTCATCCACGGTGTTGTTGTCTTGGTTCTGGTCACATGTATCGTACGTACTGGTCGCTCATTGGTCGTTTCGATGTGTTCGCCCTTTCTCTGTTTATAACTGTTGGTCGTTTATCATTTCCTTGTCTTTCTCCCCCGTTCTCTCTGCCACCGGTTTACATTATTGTATCTGTGAGAAGTATCATCGAGAAGCCGAATGAGTACTAGAACTGTTGTGTGGCGTGCGGAGAAGGGCGTGGGGGGAAATACCCCAACAAGTAGACTTCAGCTTGTGGTGTCTTCCTCGTCAGTGTTCTACTAGCCAGAGCAAGCCGGTTGGAGCATAATCCTCGTCTAGTGATGCTTCTCGTTGCCTGACGTACGGGAACGAGACATAGTTTCTATTGTAATGTGGCTACCGAAGTCCAGACCGCAATAAACGTGTTTGTAGTGTGCATGTGCATGTATCTCCGAGTTACAGAAGATTCTAAGATATGGACATCCTCAGAACGAAGATGTAAAGATGTGTGAATAAGAGAGATTCTTCTGGAAGGTGAAACGGCAACACTAGAAAACTCTATGGGCCAAGTCTGTACGAGTCTCCAGTCAAAGTACTGAATACTCGAGGTCGAATGGCTTGAGTAACATAGTACCGTATTTCCGTGCATATACCGGTAAGCCCATGGGCCTATATCCAGATATAAGCCCAGCTCCGTTTATAAGCCCATGGGCTAATAAACAGACACAAATGCAACTCACGTGTCAAGTAGAATTTTTCACAAAATGGACTCTTCCTACCATGGTACAGCAGGTCAGTGCAGTTTACCAGTAGAGAATGGTAGACTCACCATGAGCACGGACTTGTACTTTTTCGTGAACCTTCAAAATTCGAATATTGGCCCATGGGCTAAAAAACGAACATGTTTTACTGGATATTATATCCCCAAACTGAACTACGGTATGCACTATGGTGCTCGGAAAGAGCTTTGGATTCCAGAATTTGCTGGTACAGAGTAATGTGTAAATAGCTGGTTGGTGTGTGTGTGTGTGAACTCCTGGAATAGTTTTTTCTGAATTTCACTCTTTGGCTTGTTTGGCAGATAGGGAATCCCTACACACACTTGATGCTGACCTATGCTAAGGGCGAGAATGAGCAGTTCTACGGTTTCGGTCACCAGTACACACAGTTTGATCTGGGAGGGCAGAAGTTCCCCGTCTTCTCGTCGGAGCAGGGTATTGGACGTGGACGGCAGCCACTCACCAAGGTAAAAACATAGGTGTGTATGTACGTGTGTGTGTGCGTGTGTGTGTGTACGTGTGTGTACATGTGTGTACGTGTGTGTACGTGTGTGTACGTGTGTGTACGTGTGTGTGTGTGTGTGTGTTGGCATAGTGGGATGGTCTAAGACCATGACTGAGAAACAGAGTGTACAAAGTTCAAATAATGCTCCGAAGCTTCTCCGTTTGGGCCCAGGAGAATAACCTGTATTTATAGATGTGAGCTGTCATGATTACTGGGGCATAGATGCCCGTTGGCCCAGTAGCTTGTGATTTAGAATAAATAATCAGCAACAGCAGACCACTCTCATGTTTCCATAGCAACTTGCTTGTTGTTGTGTTGCCATGGTGCAGGTTTTGAACTCCCTGGATCCCGGATCGGGTGGCCATTGGTACACGTCGTACACGCACGTGCCGTTCTACACGACCAGCGCGCTGCGAGCGCTGCTTCTCGAGTCCACAGAGTATGTGGAGTTCAACCTGAAGGGCAGCGACCAAGCTGTTATCGGTCTGGTGAGCCGCAACCTCACCTTCAGACTGTTTGGAGGTAATTCAGGGCTTGCTATTCCACATTGAATACTGATTGCTGTTGAACAAGTAAATCTCAGTAGCTCATTGATTTCTGCAATTTCCATACGAGAGGATATACAGTTGTAGTAGCTGGCCCCGGAGGCAATCGCTCGCGAAACACTCACTCAGTTAATTAGCCAATTGTAAGATAGGAAAGATACGCCTACACACACTCGGAAGGCAAAGAAAGTTTGAAAGCAAAACCTGTCTGAGATCAGGCATCCGATCTGATTACATGACCACCTGTCCCAGAGGACAACTCAGTGCAACCAGGAGGGGCCAAATGATGTTACTTCCAGTCAAATGACCTTGGCAAAGGAGTCTACTTGTAGCACAGTGACCGCATGTTGAAGGTCCTTTGAGCGGTCGCCTTAGACAGGTTTCACTGTACCACGAATTGTGTTGCTGTATCTGTGTGTGTGTGTGTGTGTGTGTGTGTGTGTGTGTGTGTGTGTGTGGGTGTGGGTGTGGGTGTGGGTGTGTGTATTGTTGTACCTACAACCTTTGTTGGTTTCAGGGTTCATATACTTTCTATTTGAGGTATACATACCTGTTAACCATGGACTGCTTCTGGCTAGATAAACTCTTGTGTAATCAATGGTGCTAGTGAAGCTTTTATCAGATCCACTCTTATTTAGCCACCCACACTAGTACCAAGTATTACCTTCACTGGGGGCAGGGGTACCTGCAGTTGGATCCTGGGACGGATACCCTGATGCCGTCAATCCTTTTTCTGCACCTTGTTCTCACCCACTTACTGAGGTGTGGTGAGCCCATAAGTGGGATCATTTCAAGTCCACCCTAGTTTGGGGATTTCAGGGGGTGTCGGCCGTTGGTTGGTTCAATGGCCAATTGAGTCATCTCTCTCTCCCCTCTCCCGGGGAGACCCACGTGACCAGTTTTGGCAGTGAGCAAGTACAAGTACAAGTGTGTGTGTGTGCATGCGTGTGTGCATGTGTGTGTCCATGCATGTGTCTGTGTATATGTGTGTGTATTATTTCTCCACCCATCTTAGGCTGCAATAGCATACCTGAGCTGCTCACATCCTACACAGCGTACACTGGACGCATGGCGGAACGCACAGGCACCGGCACGACTCAAGCAGCCGTCCTCGGTCTGGAGGGAGGAACTCGATCGGTGTTTGACAGAGTGTACAACGTGAGTTCCCAGTCACCGTGGCATACATTTTAGGAGCTCAAGTTGAAGGTTGATGGTAGAAAGACGTGCCTGTATTTGAGGCGTCCGGATAAGAGACGTTTGAGTGTAAAATGTCATGCATCATGTTCAAAGAAGGTTTAGAGAACTGCTGGAAAAGTGCTCAATTCTACGTAGAGAGCAAACCTTTTCACATAAGAAAGAAAGAGGTGCGAAATTAGTACTGTAGGTCAACAAATATTCGACGTATATTTATTCTCGGCTATTTTCGGCCTGGTCATGATTGGCCGAAAAAAATTTCGGCCGAAATTTTGTTTTGCAAGGTTCAATGTGACAGTGTATACAGGCGGCAGCAGTACGGGCCGAAAATTTGATGTGGCCGAAATGGGTTTTAGCCCTGGGAGGCCGAAATTTGAATGGGGCGAAAATTTGTACACTTACAGTATGATATAGCTCAAAACTTTGATGCCCATTCTTCCAGCCTTTCGTACTCTGTGTTCCCAGACACTTGTAATGAAACTAGTCCCAGGATGTATTTGATGCTCTTGTAGAACCCCGACATCCATTTCAGTGGCAATATCCTACATCTCGCTTGGAGTCTGTAGCTTGTTGTTCTGTGTTTCCAGGCGCTCATCGGTCTTTCAGTGTACTTGCAGAGCGTGAAAATCACATAACAAATGTCTGCGTTTGTGTCTGGCGGTGTTGTCTATTGTTCTGTAGCTCTTCCAGGACTCGGACGCCCTGTGGCCACGCATCGACTGTCCAATCAGTGCCCTCTGGTTGCAGGACTGGACTGGCGAGCGTAACTTCACCGAAGCCGGAGAATTGCAGCGTGTGGGCCTCTGGTGGGTGTGGGAGGTAAGCGGCCTGGCGCTGTCCTCTTTACAGCATATTTCTCCTCGCATGGAGCATTTATTTGTGAGGTCTGTATCTACACAATGTTTGCATGACTCACGATTTTGGTTGCCTTGTGTTCTTCTGCAAACTCTGGTCACAGGTAGACACAGTGCACTATCCTAACTTTTCTCAGTTTGTCAAAGACATGAAGAGTGTGGGCATCGACGTTCTGATCTATTTCAATCCGATGATAACGAATATCACCGAGCGTGGCACGCCTTATGTACACAACTACTACGAGGAGGGACTGGAAAAGGGTTACTTTGTGAGGGACCGAGAGGACAAGGTAAGAGAGAGAGAGAGACAGAGACAGACAGAGAGTGTGTGTGTGTGTGTGAGAGAGAGAGAGAGAGAGAGAGAGAGAGAGAGAGAGAGAGAGAGAGAGAGAAAGAGAGAGAAATAATTACGCGCCGGATATTTGTTGATTTGCAGTAACTCCAGTCTATGGAGTCTACGATGGCAGAACTTCACAACACGTGGCACGTCGTCCCTACATCCCCTTTGTTTTGTCCTTTTCCTCGTTTCTTTTTGTTCTCCACCTGTTTTCCCATAGGGCTGTGTTAATACAGTAAAAAATCTCTCTTCAGTGGTCGCTTTGCACTGTTCTCCGGTATAGCCATTTAATCATGTCACGTGGATACTCTTGCTGTGGTTTCCTAGGTATGGCTTGGTTACAACAAAGCGGCACTTGTGGACTTGACGAATCCAGACGCTGCCAGCTGGATGGGTAATATCATCGCGACTGTAAGTTCTCAAAATGTATGTGTATGTGTGTATGTGTGTGTGTGTGTGTGTGTGTGTGTGTGTGTGTGTGTGTGTGTGTGTGTCACGTACTGAAAGAGTGCCCACAGCAAAGTTTGTTGTTTGGGTCAATACGAATCATTGTATATTTCTTTACAAGTATTTTTTTAATTCCCGTAGCTATGCAGAAGATGTTACTTCAGTAACGTCTGGCGCTAGCCAGGGTCAACACAGCTTTAATTTGGTATTTGTTTGTTTGTGTGTTTGTTTGTTTGTGTCACGCCTGGTGCTATCCCGTATCTGACGGCAAAAAATCATAGGGATGTTATAAATTTTTCAATTCTCCTATTTTTTCAGGCATATCCTGGGATTCGAACCCGCACTATCGCCCTACATGCATTCCCCCATACACTTCGCATTCATACTCATTCTTCCAATTTGCTTCACGTTATGATCTTGCGTTTGAAAGCCCTATTTGAATATTGCGGCCAGCTGTATGTGGCCAGCTGTGTTTGATGGTACAGTACGGGAGACGGTGTCGTATTTCCCTCGATCGTACCTCTCCCGTACCTATCCCTACCGTACCGTGCCATCAAAGACGGCTGGCCACAATGCATATTCAAATAGGGCTTTCAAATGCAAGATCATAATGTGAAGCAACTTGGAAGAATTAGTATGTATGCGAAGTGTATCGGGGGATGCATGCAGGGCGCGATAGTGCGGGTTCGAATCCCAGGTTATGTCTTAAAAAAAAGGAATTTTTTAAAGACCGGGGGATGCATGCAGGGCGCGATAGTGCGGGTTCGAATACCAGGTTATGTCTTTAAAAAAAGAATTTTTAAAGAATTTATAACATCCCCATGCGTTTTTTTGTCTAGGTCATCAAGGCAAAAAAGCATAGCGTAGGGCCCTGAGCTTCCAAGCTCTCTCGTCTCCGGGCAGTTAGCTGTTTGACCTTTTTTGGTAAATCATCATCTCCTGGCTTGTCAAGAGACTGTCAACTACTGTAAATCTAACTTAGAGAAATAACACTAAGAACAACAGCAGTGAAATTTACAAGACTTAGTGTGAATTTTAACAATGAAAGCGAAAGCAATAACGAATGCGTGTGCTAACAATAAACTTGCAAATGAAAAAATGAAAAAAAACAATAGAAAGAAAGAAGGACAAAGTGATAACACATAACAGCAGCACATTTCACCTAGAACATTAACGGCCAAGCTTGGCCGCACCAAACACGACACGTTACTTGAACAATTTCGACCCAATTATAACTTGTTACTATCTTTCTGTACACACACACACATTAGGCTTATACAGACGCTGATAGTTGGCTTCCAAAACTTTTAACTGTAGTCCATAACCATGACGACCACGGCACAATATACACGTAACATGTCGTGTTTGGTGCGGCCAAGCTTGGCCGTTAATGTTCTAGATGAAATGTACTGCTGTTATGTGTTATCGCTTTGTCCTTCTTTCTTTCTTTCTTTCTTTCTTTCTTTCTTTCTTTTGTTTGTTCATTTTTTCATTTGCAAGTTTATTGTTAGCACACGCATTCGTTATTGCTCTCGCTTTCATTGTTAAAATTCACACTTGTAAATTTCACTGCTGTTGTTCTTAGAGTTATCTCTCTAACTACTGTAAAAGCAGAAATTTTCGGTGGTGTATTATTATCGGTATTCTCCAAAATCGGCGGTTCGGTGGAGGGAAACTTTCGGTAAAACCCGTTTCCAGGCCAGGTACATGTAGTACTAAATGTATACAGTACCGGCAGTACTGAAATTTTCGGTGCGTTTTATTTTCGGTAAAAATTGTCGGCACCGAAGTTACCGAAAATAAAACATCTCCGAAAATTTCTGCTTTTAAAGTAACGGGTTGAGATGAAGGGTGAGAGCCAACCGTGGCAGACCGGAATATCCAATGAAAGATAGGAATATCCTGTCGAGCGGTGCACTGTCGGACCAACCACATTGCGCCGCTGAGATAGCACTGGGAAATGCGTGTCTGTTTCACTTCTGGCAGAGCAATTCTCAGCGGAGATTACCATGGTGATGCTGTGAAACAGTCATGACAGCCAGTAAGAGATGACACACCATGTAGCAGAAATGAATGGGACGCATGCATACATTTCCCGCCGCTCGGTTTTACGGGGCAAGTGCACTACAACAGTACACACTGTGATACCAGCTCTGCATAAAAGGTCATGAACTTTGTACGGTCATACTCATAAACGTACTGGAATGGGTTGTACCTGCCAAAAATGGGGCAACTTGCCCCACAAAAAGTTGACGGCCATCTTCGATGCATACCTCCCATTCCGGATATAGCCCGAACAAAAATGTAGCATGGGCTCTCTCTCTTTCTCTCCCTCCACGAGTTGCATGCTGCTTGCATAGAGTTTGTATGCAGGCGTGTAGCTCATGTATAGACAGCATAGTCCGGTGACCACACCAGCACATGGCTGTCAGACGTACTACATACTGTAAAGCGTGAAATTTTCGCGGCGTTTTTAGTTCGCGTTTTCAGAATCCGGACAGGTTTGCGAGGTTTTAATTTTGCGATTGCAGAATGGCATTCTTGCTAAACCTGTGGCATTCTTGCTAAACCTTTCATGGATCTCCTTTTCGCGCTGTCTAAATTTTGCGATTTCCACGCGGTCGCGAATTTCGCAGAAATTAGACCATCGCAATAATTTCACAGTTTACAGTACTGTAACTCAACTAATTTTCACTGGCGATTTAATCTCGCTGATTTCGCTGCTTGGTACCAACCGGCCAAAGTTGCAGGCTAAAGTTTATCATAGAGGCAAATGATGCGTAATCGAGTCATGACTGCATGTGAGAGCAACAGATACTGATCGATTTCTTTTTTGAAATCGATCGATTAAATGACGACCAAAAGTCTCATTTCGAGTTCGGCCAAAATTTTGTTGATTTACGGTAGTCTAAATAGGCAAAATGGCACGTATGACTATGAGGTTGCCGATGGCACAGTCACTAGTCACTGGCAGTAACCACACCACAGGTGTACGGTCTAATACATGGTCACCATGCCCACATGTTCTAAAAGTGCCTTGTTGCTTTGGAAACACGCTAGCTGCATGCGTCCACCGCATGCGCCACGAACCGAAACCGCGCTTTCCGTTTTATTTTGAACGCGGTGTACGGTGTGTGTAACTTGTGGTTCGCCCGGCTTGAACGTTGCCATGGATAAATCCGGAAAATGCGAAAAATATTTCAAAAAGTCCTACGGAGGACCCAACGTAGAAAAGAGCTTCCGAAATTTCTCAGACGATGCGAAACAGGTGTCTCAGAAGTTGAAGAAAAAGAAACAAAACAATCTTGAGCAAAAAAGTGTGCTGTGACCAGGATTCGAACCTGGGTTACTACGGCCACAACGTAGGGTCCTAACCACTAGACGATCACAGCTTGCTATGCGGGACGGCACAGAAGGACCACTGGTTCTTGCTACCTTCAACATGACACGAGTGAAACATTGATGGAATGTTTTAATTAACACTCCGCAGCAGTAGACAAATAGTCTACGAACAAGAATGGCTAAGGCTAATGGCTGCTGTGGTGGCGGTGCTGTTGCTGCTGCTGCTGCTGCTGTTGCTTCTGCTACCGCTTCCGCCACTGTTGCTGTTGCTGCTGTTTTGTTGTTGTTGTTTTCTTTATTTGAATTCGCTAAAACCAAAACGGACAGAACTGTCCAGTGACAAGGGAGCGAATGATGAGCGTCATAATCCTATGCATCTGCTGTCGCTGCTGCTGCTGCAACTGCTGCTGCGGTCGCTATTGTTGCTGCTGCTGCTGCTGTCCCTATCATTCTTGTGCTGAATTTCCCTCAGGGTCTTCTGAGCACTGGGGCGGTGGGACACATGAACGACTTTGGCGAGGCCCTGCCACTGGACGGCCATCTTTTCCATGGTGATGGCCACACCCTGCACAACCGGTACCCGACTATGTGGGCCGAACTCAACAAGCAAGTGACGGACCAGTGCGAGAAGGAAGTAAGGCCAAGCTCACAAGATGTAGTTACAGTGATGGACAGCTACTCTTTTTTAAACCCTGTACCGTTTTAGGTATTTGTACAGCAAAAACCGTTCGTTATTGTTCATGCCATAACTTTTTTTATTTTTCACTTTTATTATGCACAAGATTCTGAAAGTAAAAACCCTCGGGAATGTGATTGTCGGATCTCACTTTGCCGCCACTGTTTTTTTCAACCCATTGTGTGTTTTGTGCTGTGTTTAGACTGGCAAGAGGTATACCTACTTCATGCGTAGTGCAGGTGTGTTCACATCAGCGTACACCACACATTACTGGATGGGTGATCAACTGGTGTCGTGGGACGTCTACGATGGAATGAAGTCCGCCATTGTAGGCATGCTGAGTGCGGGTGAGGGTCAGTGTGGTGTTCACGTCTGTGTGTGTGTGTGTGTGTGTGTGTGTATATATATATATATATGTGTGTGTGCACGTGTGTGTGTGTGTGCACGTGTGTGTGCACGTATGTGTATGCGTGCATGCGTGTGTGTGTGTGTGTGTGTGTATGTGTGTGTGTGTGTGTGTGTGTGTGTGTGTGTGTGTGTGTGTGTGCGTGTGTGTATGTGTATATACGTGTGTATGCATGCGTGCACTTGCGTGTATGCGTATTAGTGCATGTGTATGGATGCCTGGATGCATCAATGTGTGTGTACGTGTGTATGTGTGTATGTGTGTACGTGTGTACGTGTGAATGTGTGTATGCACATTTTGCCCTGTACATGAACAGGCATGTCTGGACACACACTGGTGCACACGGACATCGGTGGATATGCGGACGTTGACATTGCTGGCGTGAAGTGAGTACGTAGATAGGGTACCGGTATGATAATCTCTTTGTCCAGTCCTCTCTCACATTCCGTCGCTTCATTTACGCTCTGTATACTGTAAGTGTACAAATTTTCGCCCCATTCAAATTTCGGCCTCCCAGGGCTAAAACCCATTTTGGCCGCATCAAATTTTTGGCCTGCACTGCTGCCGCCTGTATACACTGTCACACTGAACCTTGTAAAACAAAATTTCGGCCACAACAAATTTCGGGCCAAACATGACCAGGCCGAAAATGGCCGAAAATAGATATGCGCCGAATATCTACGACAGTAGCCTGCTTATGGGCTAGTACTGATAAACTGATGTCAGGATAGAAGAAGTCACGATTGCGTAGCGGAAAGACCATTCATTGAGTGTGCATGCAGACTGAGTCATCTTTCCATTCGAATAAAGCACTTTTGAACACCTTGTGGTTGCTAGGTAACATATTTGATTATCACTCAACGTGAACTAGCTTTCCAGCGCTCCAGGCAAAGCAGATGCGGACCTAGTAGGCTACCACATTTTGTTGTTTGTCGATTCTCTTCAATAATTCACCTTATGAGTGCATGAATGATTGGACGTGAATGTTCCCTGCAGGTTTTTGCGTACAAAAGAGCTGCTGATGCGCTGGACCGAGTTAGCCGTGTTCTCCGCCATGTTTCGTTCTCACCTTGGAACCTTACCCAACACCTGGCAGGTTGGATGCTGATACCAGTGCTGTCTTTTTTATTTTTTTATTATTTTTTATACGAAAGTCCACTATATTCCCGAATATGTGCGAGAAGTGGTGGCGGGGCCAGGCTGCTCTGCCGACCTCAAAGGTCTCGGCGTCTACGCAGACGAAGCGCGCCATAATTAGCCCTTTCCCAAAGATGCTCGCCACTTTTTTCGCAACTTTCTGTTGTTTTGGAAGAAATCGCAACTTTCGCAACTTTCTTCATTTTCACAAACTATTTTCGCAATTTTTCCACAACTGTGTGCAGAGGAGCGCCCTGGAGGAGACCATTGAAGTGTCCATGGTGCTCCTATCCGCTTCAACAAGAAGCGCTGAAACATTGCGGGGTCCGGATAACTGAGGTATGAGTTTACGAGTATAAGCGGCACTGGAGTAGAAGCCGCACTGGAATATAGGCCACACACTCAGATCATGTTTTGTCACGGAATAATACAGACATCCACCCTGTATATAACCATTCATTCGGCCATCATAATATTAGCCACACCGACTTTGGGTGAATCTCCAGTGTTCAAAGTGCGGCTCATACTCTGGAAAATACGGTTATCGGCACACATAACCTCCTCAGTATTAAATAACTGTGACATGAGTTGGTTGATAAATATGGTGGTAAAGACACACCTGGCAATATGGCGGTAAACACACGCCTGCCCACACACGCTCTCTAGGCTGCAAAGTTCTGGCACAGAGCTCTCCTTCTCACCACCACCACCATCAGTTCGCGCCTGGCGCCTGGTCGATGCATGGTTGGCGGTATCCGGCATAGCAGGCTGGTACATCAAGTAGTGCATGGCACATAGCAGATGACACAGCAACGACATAGCTCGATTGCGACGTACGTTTCGTCCCCGCTGGACTCATCAGGCAATCTTCTTCTTGGATGTCTTCACACGGAGCTTGACTCGGGTTCCGGTGGGACAAATCACCGGAACCAGAGCTGGATTCAACAGAAAGACCAACAACCATGGCGGCAACAACAACACCAGCTTCACATCCAACAACAACACCAGGTTCACATCCAACAACAACAACAACAACTAATCCACAAAACAAAGCAGCAAATGACAGACCACGGAGATCTACAGCAGATTACAACCGGACCTATGAATTCACGGTAAAAATACAAAGGAAACAATCGGAAAGGACGACGACTGACGTGAAGGCAACGGCATTCAGGGTTGGCGTGGGTGGTGAAGGTGAGACGCAGGACGATGCAAGTGAGGAGGAGAGTCAAACCGCGGTGGATGACGGAGCAGGTTCTGATTCGGACAGTGAGGGAGAAGGTGAGCTGAGTGGGGGTGAGAGGGAGTGTGAGGGTGTGCGCGTGAGTCGAGATTGTGTGCGTCCGTCTCGTAATAACAAGTCTTCAGTATACAATCATTTGGTTTCTAGTACTGACTGTTGTCGTACTTATTCTGATTCCTGTTTTTCTGTTTTGTGCCGTGCTCGTCATGGTTATCTGTTGCAGTTACAAGTTTTGGAAGCTGTTTGTCAGCGCATTCATAAGCCGAATTTGTGTGTCCAGAAAGATAGTGTTATTACCCTAAAATTGTTCAAATAATGTTCTGTTGTGTAGTGTGGCAACGTTGTTGCCACTTGTGCCTAAATGTGTTTTGTCACCTTCTTGTTTATGATTGTTATTATTATCATTCGTTCTCACTTTTTTGTTTTTTGTTGCTGATACACACTTGTCACGCTTAGTTCTTACTTGTATACCCTTGTTTTCTGCACACTTTTGTGAGAAATCGCACCTCGATATTCTAGTGCTGTCATTGTATCGTGTCACCCTACCTTGATTGCTATATTATTTCCTTTGTTCTCATTTTGTTCTTTAGTACAACGGTGATTCCTGAAGAGTGTTGTACGAAAACTTGTTCGAATCATATTTTTTTTCCATTGCCCTTTTTCTTCTTACATGTATTTTTCCTTACCCTTTAGGTTGTTTCTTGCATCGTCTCCATCGCTTACATTGTTAATAAAGTAGTCCACATGTCGCTTCAGCTCGTCCTACTTATTGCCATATTAAAATTATTGTCTCCTCGTCGAATTTCTAGAATAGAGTCTTTTTGTTTTAGAATGTCTTCTTGCATGGTGTGCACTCTGATTGCACGACAGTGCGACAGCTCAGTATAAAGTACCCAACGGATAAAGTAGTCTATGGAGATTTGGCCATGTCCAATTCTGTTTGGTCGTTTAGAGACATTGACTCTTTAACAGAAGTCACACGGTTTGGGCAAGCGGGCATGTCTCCCATTTTTCCAGAACTTTGTGTTAGTAGAAATTTGTCCACTGTACCACATGTATGTGAGCAGGATCAAGTTGCCATCAATGTTAGCCAGAATTTTGTCTTACCCATGTGTTGTGTTTAGTGACTTTAGTGTTGTCCCTGCCCTTTTGGCACGTGTGTGCCCCTTTTGGCACGTGCAGGTTGCGCATGCGTGCATGCTTATCGTGCGCATCCTGATTGTTTTGTGTGCCTTCTTCTTGAGACTCTCTTTGGAGCATGAACGATAATCTGTTCTCTGAGTGTGGCGTCCGTGTGATATGAGATATCGAGAGTAATCGGAAGGGCTATCGTGCGAGGGATTAAAACCCCCCGACGACAATTGGCGCCCAGCTAGTGGCATCGTTTCCCACGACCCTGAGATCGTTTTCGCCGTGGCTTCAAATCTTGTCTTCTCCACGCGTCCTCGCCATGGCTCCGCTTTGCTCCATCTGCTCAACCCTGTCCTCGGAGCTCCTACTCAGGTGAGCATGCTTTGTCTGCCCTGCGTAATGTTTGGTACCTTGTACGTAGTTCTCCTGGTACTAGTCTTCGATTTGGGATTTTCAAAATAATTGTTTCGCTTCGTGGCATTGAAGTCCCGGGTTGTTCTCTTGTGTACGAGTACATTGTTCGAGCCTCGCTCCTGTTAGTACATGATTGTGGCCCACGTTGTGTGTGCGGTGTTTTGAAGCAGTGTACATTGTCGCCCTCCGGCCTCTGGCTGTTCGAGTGGTCGTGTGCACTGTGTTTCACACCTTCTGACTTGAAAGTTTGTTGTCCGTGCTGTCGTGCATGCTCATCGTGTTGCTTGGTACGTCATCATGGTAGTCAGCATGGGTAGCTTTGCTCGTGTTTGCTTACTCGCCCTGTGTTGTGCACTGGTGCACGTCGTTTCGGTGTCGTCGGACTGCTCCGATCCTGTGTCGTCCGATTTGTTTCAGTTTGGTAGATGTCCCCATCGATTTACTCGATGTGGTGGCACTCCGTCGTTTCCAGTTTCAAGTACAAGTGCTTTCTTTTTCGTTTTACTAGTATTCATGTTTTGTGTCGAGCGTTTTAGTGCTCCGCCTGGTTGTCCCGCTCATGTGGAATGGCTGACGCCCAGTGGTGTAACATGCTTCTGAGATTCTCGTTGACGGTCCGGGTGGCAATATTTCTGTGAGCGTGTTGTTTGGTATTTGTGTTTTTGGCACGTGGGTCTCTTCATTTCACCTAGGGGGGCGTCCGATCATGGTGAGCCACGGTCTGCCTGGTGGGCTGGTGGGATCCAGCGCTTATTTGTATCGGTTCGCCTTGCGGGTGTTCGGTTTCCGTGTTTTGCTGGCTGGCCTTTGTGCGTCCCAGTAGGGTTCAGGACGGTGTTTTTTTGTGTTTCGTGAGCGGTTGTGTTTCACGCGTGATATTCAGGTTCAATCCCTGTGGGTTTTTTTCAGGTTAGAGACCTGTGGGTTTTTTCAGGTTAGAGGCCTGTGGTTATTCAGGGTAGCGCCCTGTGGTTTTTCTATGTTAATTTTTGTTTGCGTATTGGTGACCGATTTGTTTGTGTGCTATCTGGTGTCCTCATGGATAGACTGCCCCTGTATCCGTAGGCGTGTTCAACGTTGCTGTTCTGCCATTCCTTCTTGTGGTTTTTCTTGTCTGAATTTTGGCTCCTAGTATTGCTGAGATGTTTGCGTCAGTCCTTGTTTCTTTCTTTCTGTGTGTGTATCTGTGAGTTTTCGTAGCCCCATCGGCTGCGTGATGGTTTTCCGGACAACTCCTGTGCTGTCAGATGACTGGTCACCCGGTTCAGCTGCCGCGGTCTTCGCCGTACCGTCGGTTTGCCTTGGCTTCGCACCAGGGCGAGGTGGTTGTTTTCCGGGGGCCCACGCCTGAAAGATGGCGGTTCCCTCTATGGGTGGGCCCAGTCTGTTTTCTTTCCACCCCTTTGCTTTGGCTTTTCCCCCGTTGTCCGGAGTTACTAATGTATCCTACTGTTTGGCCCTGCGTATCTGCATGTGTATGTTGTTCACATTTGATTTCTTCTTCTCCTGTCTGTCTTCTCGTTTTTTTTTTCTCTCCCATCCTCAGGAGAGGATGCATTTTTTTTCGTGTGGAAATATGTTGTCCCTGCCCTTTTGGCACGTGTGTGCCCCTTTTGGCACGTGCAGGTTGCGCATGCGTGCATGCTTATCGTGCGCATCCTGATTGTTTTGTGTGCCTTCTTCTTGAGACTCTCTTTGGAGCATGAACGATAATCTGTTCTCTGAGTGTGGCGTCCGTGTGATATGAGATATCGAGAGTAATCGGAAGGGCTATCGTGCGAGGGATTAAAACCCCCCGACGACATTAGCTTTCTGTTCAGTGTACTACTGTATGCTGAACAACATCACTCTCTGCCCTCTCTCTTTCTTGCACTGTGGTGTGTGCGGCAGGTTGACAGCGATGCTGACACGATAGAGCAGTTTCTGCGCATGGCCATGCTCTTCAAGGGATTGCAAGCCTATAGGGACATTCTATACGGGGTACGTTTGCACAATTATTGGTTAGCAGTACTAGTATAGACCATTGCAGTGTGGAGTGGTTTCACATCTTTGTCATGTGACTAAATTTGTGCAGAAAGTGATCATGTCATGATGTGGACAGTAGGCCAAGCCCGATTTTGCCAGTGAAGCTTCGATAATTTGCCCCAAAATTTTGCTGGCTCATCGTCGATATTTTGCTTTCACTTTGCCAGACCACTGGATATTTTGCTCACTTTTTGCTCCAATGCGAGGCCAAATTTGTGTAACGTGTGGGGAAACAGACCGAAAATGGGTCACTTGTGGGCAAACATGAGCACCAGTCAGTCACGTGTTGGCAAAATGTGCGAAAATGAGTCGCGTGCACCTTATAAGTGTAAATATCTCCCAATTTCCAGCAAAAAAAAACATGCCGATATTTTGCACCGTTTTGCCAGCAAATTCTTTTGTCAAAACTCTTCAATATTTTGATAGCAGAATTGCTAGCAAAATCGGGCTTTGTGTAGTGGACAGCGGAACCAACATGGCCGACGTCATGTGACCTCTTGGTGCAAGACTTACAACTGGAGTTGGAGCCCACATGGCTGTCCCGTATGATCATGTGATATAAGTAAAATGTGTACCTTTTTTTGCGCATAGGATCTTTTGGATGCTGTCTGAAACTTACTTCTGTTCGAAACGATCCGAAAATCGCGAAAAGATGGGGGCATTTATTGGGCATCTGGAGACAGATGCTGGTTCACAATTTGAAAACCGTTTCACTGCACTGCTTTATGGGTGATACGATGTTGTTGTGTGTTCTGCCGTCTGTGTGTATGTTAACCCTTTAAGAGCCGCCCCATACTTGAATGCGTCGTAAATGACGCATTCAAATGCAAAATTTCAAAAGATCGTAACTCAGTCCAATCTCGCTCAAATCCAGTGATCGAAATATCCAGGGCGAAGAGAAAACTCTCACCTGTCGGGAGAAACAATCCGCGAAGCGCTGCGAGCAACGGTTCCTGAGATAAATCACTCGTAAGTTGAGCCGCGATCGCGGCAATTTCAAAAGCGCGCAGTGCGACTTTAGTATTGAGAATTTTGAGACTTTTCGTCACGCTGGTTTACTCGAATTTGCACGGGTTTCACTGTTGATATTGTCAAGAGTACACAGCGAAAAAATTGGAACTCCACGATCGAGTAAAATGAAATATCTGGAGCGGGACGCAATTGGACGCATTTGGGGCATTTTTCGTACTGTCGCTGCGATCTAGCGCTGGATAGACGGTGTGCTGGCTATCATGATCGACCTCATTCTCTTCCTCTCGCGGAGACCTTTCCAGGAAGCCCTAGATTGTGAGAATTGAGTGAGTAGAACTGAAGCTATGATCCAAGGAACACGAAAAAATGCAGAAATTTCAAATTTTCCTGTGGCTCTTAAAGGGTTAAACACAAAGGCACACAATGAAAACCTTGGGCAATTTCCGCTCTGCCTGAATCAGGTATTGAGCAATTTCGCAGAACCTAAGCATACTGCTTCTGTTTGTGTATGTTATAGGAAGCCAACACGTATGGCTGGCCGATGGTGCGCCACATGGTGTTTGAGCACTGGAACAACACGGCCCTGTGTGACCTGGGCATTCGCTATGAACAGTTCATGTTCGGCTCCGAGATCCTAGTGGCTCCCGTCACGGATCCGGGTGTAAGTACGGTCTCGGTTTGGTTGCCGGTGGCGACGAAATGGGCGGTCCGGGCCAACAACAGCACTCTGGTCACTGGTGAGTGTGAGGATCAGATGTAAGATGTGTGTGTGTGTGTGTGTGTGTGTGTGTGTGTGTGTGTGTGTGTGTGTGTGTGTGTGTGTGTGTGTGTGTGTGTGTGTGTGTGTGTAACTGCAGTTGAATCCCGGGACGGATACCCTGATGCCGTCAATCCTTTTTCTGCACCTTGTCCTCACCCACTTACTGAGGTGTGGTGAGCCCATAAGTGGGGTCATTTTCAAGTCCACCCAGAGTTTTGGGGATTTCAGGGGGTGTCGGTCGTTGGGCGGTTCAATAACCAATTGAGTCATCTTTCCAAGATTCCTTTTGAGTCTCTCTCCCCTCTCCCGGGGGGACTCACGTGACCAGTTTTGGTAGTGAGCAACAAGTACAAGTAAGTACAAGTAAGTACAAGTGTGTGTGTGTGTGTGTGTGTGTGTGTGTGTGTGTGTGTGTGTGTGTGTGTGTGTGTGTGTGGGTGTGTGTGTGTGTGTGAGATTAGGGATTCACTGGCCAGAAAAAGTCACTTCAAATAGCTATATGGTGTAGACCAGGCTGAATAGTGACGGTCAATTCTTCAGCCTTGCAAGCTGTTGAATGGTGCAATCCCAGCACAAGTTGCTATGGCTTCTGCCGTAGCATTGCTATCATCGCCTCCGGCGATGGGCGTCAAAGGTCAAAGGTCAAAGGTGTGTGTGAGTGTGTGTGTGTGTGTGTGTGTGTGTGCGTGGGTGCATGTGTGTGCACGTATGCATGCATGGGTGTGTGTGTGTGTGTGTGTGTGTGTGTTTGCACGTGCATGTGTGTGCAGCATAATATTATTATGTTTTGTACTTCAAAAGTATGTGCCTGTACATTAGTAGGAGTGGATTGGCTGGGCTCATGGGATAATCCCAATTCTGTGCATAATAACATTGACATCGTTTGTGTCACCAACACCCCACATGACCACCCTTGTATGGCTGAGTGCATTACTGATCTTGTATGGCAGTATGGGGTGTTGAACAGGATATTGCTGATCTACGGCGGTGTAGGGTGTTGAACAGTGATTTACTCATCCCAGCATACTCACATGCATTACTCGCACATTCCTTGGTTGGTAATGTGCAATGAGCTTATCGTCATTGGGTCTTCTCCCTTCCCATAGCAAAGCAAGTATTCTCTTTTCTTCTGCATTGCTTCTGTATGACAGGCAATGACACGTATGTGAACTTCTCTGCACCCATGGGCCACCCTTTGTTTCTGCTTCGCTACCCGCCACCAAAGGAAACATGGGTCGACAACCTAATGGCTGCCCTGAAGCTCATCTGGATGTGAAATTGACAAATAGAACTCTAAGCAAATCTAAATTTTATTGGAAATGAAACATTCGGGATTTCCTATCGTTTGAACTAATATTCTTTTTAAATGTGCACTTGTTTTGAACTCAAATTATTTTACAATGGGCACTGGCTGTGACAAAACTTCTGAACAGATGCAAGCTCACTTTCTATCAAATTTTAGTAGGTTCTGATGCTCATAAAAAAACCCTTTGTTAGGTTCATTTGCTCCAACCTACAGAGCAACTGATATTTGTCTGCATTGAAGATCTAGCACATCGTCGTGCAGATACATGCACTTCAAATTAGGACGTATTCTACGATTTCTCACTCGATATATGCCGCTGTTTTGGCCTGGGCACTTTCCTCGCTTCCTTTGCTTGGACAGCGGATCTATGAATGCTACATGACAATAGGATCGGATTGAGTTTCCTCAGCATTAGTTAAGGGCATAGGTATTAGGACGGCCAAGCTCCCCACACTCCTGAATAGCTATTTATTTCTATTAAATCTAATTATTATTATCTGCAGCTTCAGAAGAACCGGATGAATGATATCTGACTCTTTGTGAAGAAATTGTATTTTTAGGTTCCCCGACACAGAGCACTACGCATCATTTGTTGTAGTTGGGTTGTGTGTAATTATAGCTCTATTTGAATGAATATTGAGCACTCTAACGAGCCGGAGCACTCTTGTATTTTTAGGTTCCTGTCATTGTTTCTAGACCTGTATGAACGAATTTGTTTCCAGAAACTTGCTTGCCTTCAACTTTGCCTTCTTTGAGTATCCATCAGGACCGGCGGTGAAAGCAGTTTTTTGATTGGTCCGGCCCTACCCTAGCCTTTCATACAGTTTGTGTATGATATGTATGGTAGTCACATGACTTTCATACAGTTTGTGTATGATATGGAGGGTAGTCACATGACTTTCATACAGTTTGTGTATGATATGGAGCAGGGAGTCGTAAAATACCATATTTTACGACTCACTGATATGTAGCGGGGTATACACATGACTTTCATACAGTTTGTGTATGATATGTAGCGGGGTATACACATGACTTTCATACAGTTTGTGTATGATATGGAGGGTATACACATGACTTTCATACAGTTTGTGTATGATATGGAGGGTATACACATGACTTTCATACAGTTTGAGTATGATATGGAGGGTAGTCACATGACTTTCATACAGTTTGTGTATGATATGGAGGGTATACACATGACTCATACAGTTTGTGTATGATATGGAGGGTAGTCATGTGACTTTCATACAGTTTGTGTATGATATGGAGGGTAGTCACATGACTTTCATACAGTTTGTGTATGATATGGAGGGTATACACATGACTTTCATACAGTTTGTGTATGATATGGAGGGTATACACATGACTCATACAGTTTGTGTATGATATGGAGGGTAGTCACGTGACTTTCATACAGTTTGTGTATGATATGGAGGGTAGTCACATGACTTTCATACAGTTTGTGTATGATATGGAGGGTATACACATGACCTCCTCAGCTAGCAGTAAACACAGGTTGGTGACCAACAAGTTGGTCCGACAATGGCCTGACCAACCGGACCAGTTCCAGTGGGCCTGGCCTGTCCATTGGTTAAAGGGCCATTAATTTTGTAACCACGGTAACGGCACCTATCACATCAATGACTAGAGCTAGGGAACAAAGCAAGGACAAGCTTAGGGTTTCTCAGCCTGATTTCGTAGGACGCTGAACCCAGGCTTTGGGAATGGGACCCCATATACCATTGTAGTAAGGAGGAGCTTGGGATTTCCATTTTGTGTCTGAGGCTGATTTTTTGCACAATGAACCCAGGCTTTGGGAATGTGACCCCATAATATTTACCGTACTTGTGCACAGAGATTGCAGTGCCTGGCGATCACAGCGTGCGGGTTGTTGGCATTTGCTTTTGTAGCCAGTGATACACTATTGACCAGGGTGTAGAGCATACTAGTGCCCGCTTGTAAATGTATTGAATCCAGAGTGGGTGATTGCGGACTATATCATGGATATGTACAATGGATTACTTCAGCATGTCGAAGCTGTGTGTCGATCATGGACAAACTTGGTCATCTACGATGTAATTCACATAATACTGCTTCGTGTGTGTTCATGTTTTGCTTATGCCAAGCAAGTTACATGTACAATACTGCTAGGCGCCAAGCCAATGGACTTGAGCATGTAGCAGCTCAGTCACGTTGGCGGAGAAAGGAGAAGTGCTCTGCATAATGACTGTGATGGTTTTGGAGGAGATACCTACATCATTATACACATTTACAGGCCTGAGGGAATGACATTGGCACACTGGCTGACAGCTTGATATCCGAGGCTACCGTCTGCAACAGTTACTGTAACTGTTCCATTGAGTATTCCTCGCCCTGAGCTTATGCGGTGATCTGTCTAAAAAGAATGCCATCAACAGTCCACAAAGCATGATTATTATTTTATGCTCTTGTCAGCATGTGTGTCGATGACCAATAGTATAGACTATCATGTATAGTTCAGTTGCTCATATAAGGCGTGAAATACCACTGGCTGCCGTTGAGCGACGTCATGCTTGGAGTACTGCCATTTCCTGGAAGAGACTCATGCAGTACAATGCACTACACTGCCACTGGACTAGTTCGTGTGCGCGGTCAGTATAGCGGCATTTCCAGGAATTGTGTGCATCAGCTATTTTAGATCACACACACACACACACACACACACACACACACACACACACACACACACACACACACACACACACACACACACACACACACACACACACACACACACACACACACACACACACACACACACACACACACACACACACACACACACACACACACACACACACACACACACACACACAGATCAGCAGGATTCTCACTGACTCAGTGACTGTCTTCTGTTTCGTGAAGTCGCAATACCGGTACGGCGGTATGCTTCGGAAGTTCGGTATCATGACCTACATGTGATTGTACATGTATGCCGCTAGGCTCATTATCCATGGCTGGCGCCATGCTTGACAGGTATTTTATTTGCTCACATTACGGCCGTATTATCCGCTATTATAAATCTTATATCAGCAGTGAGTGTGGTATTTTTGCGATGACGACATGATGACGGTACTCATTGATTGTATGATTGGTCATGTAACATTACTCATTTACTGGCTGCATCGAAGTGGAGGATAAACCTTACAGACATGTATTTTCCTTGTCAGTTTGCCACTCTGCGGCTACCTGCCATTGAACGTCATACGTTCATGGAAATACATGACAATACAGGCAAGCGTAGATCGTATCTGTGTTACAGGCTCCCCAGGTGTCCCGTTATGTCGTCTCGTAGGAGGCAAATCCTGTCTCCATACGAAAAGTCAGCAAAATCATCATCCAACCTTTGACGTGGACGTCGCGGTGTCATGCTGTGACTGTGAGCCAGATGTGGACATGTGACCAAATTCGGGCATACGACTCGCTCAGTAGTGCTTTGCGTGCACTTTTACAAATGCCGTGCGGTACGGACGGTTTGTGGTGATTATTTTGAGCTCTGCCTGTGCTTACTGCATATGCATGTGAAAAAAACACAGACTAGACTGTCGATATGTCAGTGCATGGAAGGATCCAGTCAGTGTAGTGGGGTGACTGGTGTCGCCTGCTTCGCACGTAGAGTTCAGGGTCGACTTCTCCAGACCGACCCACCGTACCTGGAGACCACTGTAGCGGCTCGTGCAGTTGCACCCACACTGGGCCACAGACTGCACAGTACTAGATCTACGTGCAGTTTGCTTGTCGACGCGACGTGTAGTGCGTCGTTTTTTCTTTCCCATGACGGCGGCCGGGGTATAAATTTGCGCTCAGCTGGACGGTGTTCGAGCAAGCAGTTTGGCGACAAGCTGCAACCGTTGCTTGCCTTTGCTGGAGATTCCCTTCCCTGGTACCTACTTTCTGCTGCTGGTTACTTGTGCGAATTCTGATCCATTCCTGGGACGCTTCGGTGCAACCCAGAGCCAGCAGAGGCAGCATCCACCCTCCGACATCGAATCATGTCGCAGGGTAACCATGGAATGGAAGAGCTGATCCCGATCGTCAATAAGCTGCAGGATGCTTTCTCGCAGCTCGGCAGCAACGTGCCGTTCGACCTGCCGCAGATTGCCGTTGTTGGCGGCCAGAGCGCTGGAAAGAGCTCGGTGCTGGAGAATTTCGTCGGCAGGTATGCTAGCGCACGGTGGGGCGAAAACATTTTTTACGGCGTGGCGTGTCAATAAAAAAAATTATCGACTTGTTGGCTAACGACAACGTCCACTTGTAGCACAATGCGCTCTCCACATTGATTTGTGTCGTATTGTAAGGGAGGCTGAGGGGTTGGGCAGGCAATGAATAGTTGATTGACAAATATATCGGAAGATTAGCGTGCTGATGATGTGGGTTACAGTTTCGTGTCATTTTGTTTTTCGTTGTGTTGTATGGTTGTTGCTGCCGTCACCGACTGCTCCACAACGCGCAGGGACTTCCTGCCGCGTGGAAGTGGCATCGTAACACGACGGCCGCTGATCCTGCAGCTAAACCATGTCAAATCCGGCGGTGAGTCAGCAAGCAACACATCAGCATAAATACACAAAAATTATATGTCAAAAATTAATAGCAGATTGAGTAAAAATTAGTAGATCATGTGACGATATCCACCCCAAGTTTTGTTATGAACTAGTGGGAGAATAATATCTTCATTCTGTGCTGCGCTGATGAGTCCACAAGGGACGAAGCAGTTCTGTCCGCAGATTGAGTATTTTACTTATAGACATTTTCTTGAAGACATAAATCAGATCGCACATCGAGGGAGGTGATATTCATGTGATGAAATTAGCTTACTTAAATCTTTAGGGAGAGCATGCATCGGTGTGGAGACTGTCATGTGGGATGTATACTCGTTGTTTGGTTGACAGCATGTTACAAGGCGGAGGACGCACTGTGCTTGAAAACAGTGCTCCTTACTACAATCATCTCTGCCAACCGTGGATGTTGTAGTCAGGAGCATTGTTTTCAACACAGTGCATCCTCCGCCTTTTAACATGCCGTCAACCAAATAACATGTTGCACAACGCGCTCTCCACATGGATTTGCATCGTATTGCAAGGGAGGCTGAGGGGTTGGGCAGGCACCTATCACCTCCCCCTCATAGGTCCTACCATAACCTTGAACCTTCCAAGCTGGAAGGCTGTTGGTTTGCGCACTGGAGATGTGTTAGAGCTAGGTCTCAGGTCGCTGAATGTCTCAGTAGCCTGTCAGTTTTGTGCCCTGTTATCGCACTTTCTGGCTGCTTATTATCTTGTTACAGTCGTGGATGGTTACTTCATAACTTGTTTCCATGTGATTTCTTCTATTTAATTATATTTACTGGCTCAGTATCCCAGTTAATTTATAATGATGAGTTCAACTTATCTGAATACTAGTATCAAGTTTATTATTGCTTTAGGAAAGATGTTTGCTCCCCACACCGGAGCTGGCGCTTTTTCGCCGACTTGACACTTGGCTGTCTTGTAATAATATTGCTTTGTATCGTTTATTATTGTGTTGGTGTATGTATACCGTATGTTGTGTGAATGTGATTAGAGTGGGGAGAGTTCCTGCACGCAAAGGGCAAGAAGTTCACCGACTTCAACGAGATTCGCGGCGAGATTGAGGACGAAACGGATCGCATGACAGGCAGCAACAAGGGCATCTCCGCCATCCCCATCAATCTCAGAGTCTACTCACCTCACGGTAAGTTTTAACCTCGTCTGCGATACATTTCCGTGCAGTGTACTGTAAGTTGACAAATTTCCGGCCCATTCAAATTCCGGCCTCCCAGGGCTAAAACACATTTCCGCTGCAACAAATGTTCAGCCAAATTAATAATAATATGATCAGGCTGAAAATAGCCGAAAATAAACATGCGCCGAATAGTTGTTAACTGTCAGTACCCATACTCTTCTGTTGAACACAACGGTTCTAGGCTGTCCGAAACAGTGCTCAATGCCCCATACTCTTCTGTTGGATATAACGTAAATTTCTGTTGCTTCTCCTGCTGCTGGTGTTGCTGCTGCTCCTGCTGCTGCTGCTGCTGCCCGGCTGCTGTTGTTTCTGTCCCCATTCACAGTGCTCAATCTCACTCTCATCGACTTGCCCGGTCTGACCAAGGTTGCCGTGGGAGATCAACCGGTAGACATCGAGTTTCAAATTCGCGAAATGCTTATGCAGTTCATCACCAAGGGCAACTGTCTCATCTTGGCCGTCACGCCGGCTAACGCAGATTTGGCTAACAGCGATGCGTTGAAGATAGCAAAGGAGGTGGATCCACAGGGTGAGATAATATTAATGTGGCTTATCTATGTGTTTACCAACTATGTTGTATGGCTGTACTAAGTTCTCATTCATATCTGCTCTGGAGTATTAGAACGTAGTCGTTGTTAGGTTCAATGCTTCTCTTGTAAATAATGCTGGTGTTGTTGTTGCTGTGTTGTTGTGTGGTGTGCAGGTTTGAGAACGATCGGTGTCATCACCAAGCTGGACTTGATGGATGAAGGAACCGACGCTAAAGAAATCCTGGAGAACAAACTGCTACCGCTTCGCAGAGGTGAGCTTGCAGGGTTAAAATCAGTCGTATGTATTGCTGGCACAGATTTTGCAGCGCAGTTTTTATCGTGAAAATCGGTGGAATTTGGGCAAGCAGCCGAACAAGAATGTGAAATTGAGTTGTGCCGTTACGAGGCATTGTGAAGTAGTTTGGAGAGGACGTGGAAGTGGCCCTGATGTGTTTATGGAGCTGAGAGCTGCCAGGATGGATTCGCTTCGTCCTGATCTTTCCAACGAGCCCAGGATGATGAAAATCCATCAAGGTGGAGTGAAATGAAAATATATTTCGTTCGGAGCTGTGCGCTGGAAAGCCAGTAGATTGGAGAAAGGGGCCCAGCATGCAAAGGGTTAATGCATCTGGCAGCGTGTTGGAAGATGTACATTACAATTTTGCATGCTTTGTGTGTGTGCTGATTGTACATGTCGTGTGTGTGTGCTGATTGTACATGTCGTGTGTGTGTGCTGATTGTACATGTCGTGTGTGTGTGTGTGTGTGCGTATGCGCGCGTGTGTTTGCGTGCATGCGTGTGTGTACATATGCAGGCTACATCGGTGTTGTAAATCGTTCACAGAAAGACATTGAAGGTCGCAAAGACATCAAGGCCGCTCTGGCAGCCGAGAGAAAGTTCTTCCTGAGCCATCCGTCATACCGGTACGTGCTGGTGTGCCTTCGGTTGCAGCCAATAAGCTCGGTCTGTAAATAGAGGGGCAATGCCCATGGCCTGGTGACGTATCCTGGCGTGGATGTGTGGTTGGAGCGGGGAGGAGGGGATATTGGTTGTGAATGTGCATGTATGAAGCAGCTTAGGTTTTTCGAGTATCATAATTATAGTGCTAGTCTGGGTGTCTGAATGCGTATTTTATGGATGGTACATGAGATGTAGTGGGTTTAAGCCTTTGAACATAATGTCCAGTCCACCAGTCTGTGGTTGTTGTAGCGACTGGGTAGTCCCCGGTATTTCTAACATTTTTTTCTCTGTATTTGGACGTTTGCTTGCTGATGGTGTTGACGGGTATTGACAGGCATCTGGCCGAGAAGCTGGGGACACCATACCTACAGAAGGCTCTCAATCAGGTAAGACCAGCAGGCAGTAGCAGTAGCAGTACTTATGCTATCCAATCGATCACATTAACCCTAGAAGGCGGCAGAACTGCTGTCAAAATGACCAGAATGGCGAAACGTACTAGTGAATATTATTGTGTGTGTGTGGGGGGGGGGGGGGGGGGGGGCGTGGTGATTGGTGTGAGTCCTGCGTGTAAATCCTTAAGCCGGGTCTGGCTTTGGCAGTTGCAAGTTAGTTCCTTTTGGGCATGTAGTGTCCATTCCTATTGTGTGCCGCACGTTTATGGTTGTGTGTGTTCTGTTTGATGTGCGCTATCGTCCGTACAAGTACACAACCACACGTAGGGTCTAGTTACCTATTGTGAAATGCACCCTAAAATAGTGGCGGTTGAGTGATTTAGCAGTATTAAAACAGAGAGGTTCCAGGCTGTCCAAGAGAGGTTCCAGGTTGTCCAAGAGAGGTTCCAGGTTGTCCAAGAGAGGTTCCAGGCTGTCCAAGAGAGGTTCCAGGCTGTCCAAGAGAGGTTCCAGGCTGTCCAAGAGAGGTTCCAGGCTGTCCAAGAGAGGTTCCAGGCTGTCCAAGAGAGTGCTCAATACCGAGAGGCAGAGCTCGTTCAAACAATGATAGGATGAAAAGTACATCTATATTAAAAAATGCACTTTTTCCATCCTCTTATTATTGTTTGGTGTAGCAATATGATAGGAATGGAGTTTCAGGATCTACATGTGAACACATACGAGCATACAGCTGATCATTCATTGACTCTGTTCTTTGCACTGGTGTGTGTGTGTGTGTCTTGGTCTGCGCAGCAATTGACGAATCACATCCGCGACACGCTGCCAGCCCTGCGTCAGCGTCTCATGAACCAGCTTGGCACGTTGGAGAAGGACGTACAAGAGTTCAAGAAGTTCAACGCCGACGATCCAAACCTGAAGACAAAAGCTATGCTCACGTAAGTACATGACTGTACATGTGACGGGTAGGGTAAACAGGTACTTTCTTTCCATAGTCTTCTACTCTTCTGTAGCTCTATTCTCTCCTTCTTTGTCACATACACATTTCTCTCTATCTCTTTTCTTTCTTTCTCGCAAACACATTTTCACTCTATCTCTCTATCTCCCCAACATCCTGTGAAAAACTTGGTGTAATAAAATCTGATGTTGTGTTGTGTATATTGATTCTCTATTTCTGCAGGTTCCTTCAGACATTCTCATTGGATTTTGAGAAGTCCATTGAGGGTAGTGGTGACTTGGTGGATACCAGTGAGCTGTCTGGTGGCGCCAAGATCAACAAGATCTTCCACGAGCGCTTTCCCTACGAGCTAGTCAAGGTGTGTATGACACATGTGTACTTGTGTGTATACGTGTGTGTTATGCTGCACTTGGTTTTGTGTGAGATGCCCAGAACGCTTTTCATGATGCAGTGACTAAGGACCAGTGGTCTCTCATTATAGTCATTCTTAACACAGATGTACTGGCTGTCCTTTGATGGCAACTGGAGGAAAAATATGTACTGATCCGGAGATTATGACTGTGTTTCCATGATGGCTAAGCCTGTTTCATGACTGCATTCTACTCACCATCCCGTATGGGATTGGCATTCTCTCAACTTTCGAAATTGCTCTTGCTTGTTATTGTGCAGATGGAGTTCGATGAGCGGGAGCTGAGACGCGAGATTGGTTTTGCAATCAAGAACTTGCATGGTGTGCGGTAAGTGTGAGCTGTGCTCTTTCCCAGCTTCGAATCATATTGTTTTTTTTTTACTGATTTTACAATGTATTTCATTGAGCAAAGATATACAAGGGCATTAGTGGGCAGGTGTGTGATCACTGGCAACACGTTTGGTACTGTGTGGCAGCTCATTTCCTCTTCTTCTGATCTCTGAGTGTTGAGTTGTGGGTGTGACCAGTTGTGGACTTACGACTTCCTTTTTGATGGCACCGGTTGCTTGCAATGTGGGTGTGGTGCTGGGGAGGTGGCGGTGGTTGTGCTGATACTTCTGCTGCTCCTGCTACTGCTGCCGCTGCTGTTGCTGTTAGTGGTGGTAGTGGTGGTGGTGGTGCTGATACTTCTGCTGCTCCTGCTACTGCTGCCGCTGCTGTTGCTGTTAGTGGTGGTGGTAGTGGTGGTGGTGGTGCTGCTGATGCTGCTGCTGTCCTTGCTAATGTTCGTTGCCGTTGCTGCTTCTGTCATCATGTACTCTTCTTCAGTGTTGGTATCTTCACGCCGGACATGGCATTTGAGGTGATCTGTAAGAAGCAGATTGACAAGCTGAAAGAGCCCTCGCTCAAGTGTGTGGACATGGTCACAACCGAGCTATTCCAGGTCATCAAGAAGATCGGAGAGAAGGTAAGAGAACTTCCTCTTCACCCAAAGTCCAAGGGCACTATGGGCAGGGTAATTTCATACTGGGACAGAGCTGGCTGGTGTTGTTTGCTGGTAAAATCCATAGCAACCAGACGGCCCTTGAACCAAGAGACAATGATGACTTGATAATGATAGCTGTACTGTTGAAAATTAATGTTCTCTCGTACTCCTTCCTACCCTCTCTAACCAATACCATCACTTTTAACGCCATCTCTGAATGAACAGGAGTGACCTGAAATGAGCACCTGTGTTTTCCAGTGCCCTGAATGGATTCTCTGCCTTTCTTTGCTCGTAGCTGCAACGCTACCCGAGATTGCGCGACGAAGTGGAGAGGATCTGCCACCACTACGTGCGCGAGTGTGAGGTCAAGGCCAAGGATCATGTAAGAATGCCTTGAACAGAGCACACTGTGTATGGATCTTGACTTGCCAGGGGGTATTGCAATGCTAGTCGCCAGGCCAAGAATCAAACGATGGCTTTTTTTCAATGCATTCAGATCTGTATTGAAAGGTCACGTGCATCTGAAGGTTGATATTCTGCGCACCACGTAGGGCTCTCATCAGTACCATACTGGTTTCACTGTACGGTAAAACCGGTAACTAACGACCACCCCTTGGGGCCAGAGAAAGCGGTCTTTAGTGGCAGGTGGTCCTTAGTTAGAGGTTTGCACCGCACACAACCATATGTATGAATGTGAGACCGTCCGTGCCGGGTGAAGTGGTCTCCAGTAGCAGGATGGTCGCTAGTCACGGTAGTCTTTAGTTACAGGATTTACTGTAGGTGTTAGCTGGGCAGCATGTTCTCCAAACTGCCTAGGCGTGGGCTTGACACTGCTTCCATGTAGCATATCTAACCGCCCACATGTTCTCTGTATGTGCATTTTCTAACTTTTGAAAAATCATCAAGTACGTGCACCTCGCACCGACAGTCCGTGTTTCATCCCGCCCCTACCCCTGTCCCAGTGCATAGGGGGAAATCCCTTTCTCCATCAGAGAAAGTCCCTTCCTCCAGCTAACTTGATTGTACTTCTGGCCATGCATTCTCTCTGTACTGTGTATTGTGTATGGTGTAGATCACATTGTGCATACACCTGGAGCTCTCGTACATGAACACCAACCACCCGGATTTCATCGGCTTTGCCAAGTAAGTGAAGCCAAGCGTATTTGTATGTTCAGTAATGCTCCTGTAGTCGGCACTCCAATGTACCGGGCAACCTTTCTGACGCCTCTCCATGATGACAGCAAAATAGATGTTCAACGAAAAGCGGTCTCAAATGATTTTGGTTGGCGTGAAAGTGTTTTCTTGAATGCAGTCAGTGTGGTGTGAGTTGTAGGAAATTCCACGTTGCGGACAGTGTCCGGTCACAGAGTTCCCGGATAGGTGAGCCCCACTCCATTATACAAATCATCTTTTTTAGCCGATTGGGGCATGGGTCATAAGGGGGGGGGGGGGGGTACTCCTGGACCAGATCCTGGACCAGATCCTGGACCCGTCCCTGCAATCTCTACACCATGCTGCCGATTCATTCGTTTGTTCAGACATGTATTTCATGCCGTGTACGTGCGTGTGTGTGCGTGTGTACGTGTATGTATGTATGTGTATGTGCGTGTGTGTGCACGTGTGTATTGCAGTGCACAGTCAGGTAGCAAGAAGGACAAGAAGGGTAGCAGCGCCAGCATGGGCAATCAGGTATGTAACTCTCCAGTACTACTCACCACACACACTACTCAATGTGGCCTGCTCACTCACTCGTTCTATTGTTCAATCACTTGTTCCTTTGCAAACTTACTCAATCACTCACTCACTCGCTCGCTCACTCGCCCGCTCACTCTCCCGCTAACTCTCTCACTCGCTAACTCAAACTGGAGCTGTATTCGTGCTCAGCCTGTGTCCCAAAACTGAGATCTCAGATTCCTCCGTATCATATCAAGTGCATGGACCTGATCTCATCATGTGCAGGCAATGTGCCCGTTGTTTCTGCCGTGGACACAGAGTTGAATGACTGGTGTGTATTTTCTATCCATGTGAATTTGTATGGGTCTGTGACTGTGAGTTTGTATGGGTCTGTGACTGTGGTACACCCTTGAACCGTATTTCCCCGAATATAAGTCGCACCTTTTTTTTGATAAACGTCGCGGGCAAAGAAGGCGATGCGAGTTACAATCGAGTGTGACAACATACTTACGTGATTATATTGAAACGATATGGCTCAGACCTGAAGATCGGGGAAATGCGGTATTCCTGGGTACACCCTTGAACCGTATTTCCCCGAATATAAGTCGCACCTTTTTTTGATAAACGTCGCGGGCAAAGAAGGCGATGCGAGTTACAATCGAGTGTGACAACATACTTACGTGATTATATTGAAACGATATGGCTCAGACCTGAAGATCGGGGAAATGCGGTATTCCTGGGACAGAGTGCACCGATTTGCTCATGTCTATTTCTTGAACCTCCATGTGTGTGCGTTCGTGCGTGTGTAGACGATTCGCAAAGGCTGGATGACCACTACCAGCGTTGGTGTGCTGAAAGGCGGCTCCAAGGAGTACTGGTTCGTTCTCACCGGTAAGACTGTGTGTGATGTATAGGTCAAACGTGTGTTTGACCTGCTGTTGCCGTGTCATGTGACCAACTTGGTGGAATGCCTGCTGTGATGATGTCATCTTGAAATGTGATCATGCTGTTGGACTCCCTGATGTGATGTCATTGTGTGATATCGTATCATGTGACTCATTCAGGGTGGTCATGATCAAAAATACATGCTAGACAAGATGGAACAAGTTATTTGCTGTAACTCCAAGTTTCACGCCAATGGGCACTCCGCAGACAACAGTAACGCAGCGACAGTGTCATCCTGTGTACAAGAACAAAACATGTAACTACTTTGAAGTAGCCACAGGGATGTCTGTCTGACATACATTGCTCCTTTTTGTTTTCTTCTGCTCCGTGCTATTCTGTTCCGCTCCACAGCTGACACTCTGGCATGGTTCCGCGATGAGAAGGTTAGTCTGCCACTGAACATGTGACTTGCTAGTGTGCAGCATGTGCAGTGCTGGCTAGAGAAATCCAACCTCATGAATAAAATAGCGTTGCCGGGCGCTACGCAACCCTAGCGCTACACATACTGGTCTGTGCAGTCAAACACGGCGCTACTTTATTCATGGAGTTGGATTTCACTGGCCAGCACAGTATTTACAGTGCTGGCCAGTGAAATCCAACAACTCATGAATAAAACAGAAGCAGGCGCTACGCAGCCCTAGCACTACACATACACTGGTCTGTGCAGTCGAACACGGCGCTACTTGATTTCATGAGGTTGGATTTCACTGGCCAGCACTGTACATGTGTGTGCATATGATCAGCAATGTAGAGCTGTGCTAGGCTAGCCTAGGTGAAATCCAACCCAGAGAGTGTTGCTCACCCCACGCATACCGGTAATAGTACGCCGATGGAAGGGTAATTGCGTGCAGCCAGATGTCAACCGGATTTCAAGAGAAGTCCAGAAGCAAAGGCCGAGGCCAGAATATGTGGAGCGAAAAAGGTATGCACTTGGATACCAGGCATAGGCCATGGTGCAAGACCGTGAGGGATCCTCAGATTGATTTACCCGGACTGAGCCAAGAAAGTAAGCAGCAGCACTCGGCCCTTGAAGTGGATGTAAAATGGATTCGGTGTTGTTGGATTCGACCTTGGTAGAAGGAGACGCTTATTTTATACATGAATTGCGCGCGCACATTGTGCTGACAGGCCGTAGCTTAACAGTAACGTGCGCGTAACAGCTGTGATGCAGCACTCACTCTCTCTCACTGTCTCTCTCTCTCTCTCTCTCTCTCTCTCTCTCTCTCTCTCTCTCTCTCTCTCTCTCTCTCTCTCTCTCTCTCTCCCCCCCCCCCCCCCCCCCGCTCTGTCCTGTCCTTGATGTCACCCTGCCCGTTCTACAGGAAGAGGATCAGAAGTATTTGCTGCGCTTGGAAAACCTGAAACTGAAGGAAGTGGAAACAGGTTTCATGAGCCTTGGCAAGAAGCACTGCTATGCTCTCTTCAACCCGAGCGCAAAGTGAGTTCGGACATACTTTAGGGATCGGATGATTAGCAAATCTTGAAGCTATTCCTCGGGCTGAGAGTAGCTTGGGTGCATAAGAAATGATGGTGAGCGAGCATTACCAGGAAACTCTTTGGCTGCTCCTTGTGCTGATGGCGGTCTGAGAGCGGGACAGAATCATTAGTCAGCATTCCAGGTCTTGCAGTAATATCTGTGTGTGTGTGTGTGTGTGTGTGTCTGTCTGTCTGTCTGTCTGTGCACATGTGTGTGTGTGTGTGTGTGTGTGTGTGTGTGTGTGTGTGTGTGTGTTACTATACGCAGGAATTTGTTCAAGGATTACAAGCAGCTAGATCTGTCCTGTGAGACTGAAGACGACATTGAGAGTTGGAAGGCGGCATTTCTCCGTGCTGGTGTCTACCCAGATAGAGGAGAAATAGAGGATGAGGTGAGGAAGTGAGGATGTTGACTGCCGGTAGTATTGAAGGCGCCTTGCTGTGTACTGGGTCCACACTGGCTTCTGACCTCTCAATTTTGTTTTTTGTTTTTTTTTGTTGGGGGGGGGGGGGCAGTGGTGTTGAAAGTGAACTGGTCTTCATCTTGCATGGAGGAAGCATTTGTGTGAACATACACGTCGATTAGCTGGAATTGATTTCTAAGGCCCGGCAGAACCGGTCCGGTTCGTCAAGCCATTGCCGGACCAACAATATTTTGGCCACCAACGTGTGTTTACTGCTGAGGAGGTCATGTGTCTACCCTCCATATCATACACAAACTGTATGAAAGTCATGTGTATACCCTCCATATCATACACAAACTGTATGAAAGTCATTTGTATACCCTCCATATCATACACAAACTGTATGAAAGTCATGTGTCTACCCTACATATCGTACACAAACTGTATGAAAGTCATGTGTATACCCTCCATATCATACACAAACTGTATGAAAGTCATGTGTGTACCCTCCATATCATATACAAACTGTATGAAAGTCATGTGACTACCCTCCATATCATACACAAACTGTATGAAAGTCATGTGTATACCCTCTATATCATACACAAACTGTATGAAAGGCTAGGGTATGTCCGGACCAATCAAAACTACTTCCACCGCCGGTCCTGTTTCTATGCATTTTGGCTCATCTACTGTTCCCAGTCATCCATTTGTCGTGTGATTGTTTGCAAATAATATTTTGCCCATAATTATAAGAGGCTTTGTACCCTGTGTACTGCTTCCACAGGGTGCTATGTCTAGTGAGCTGGGTGCTATGGACCCGATGATGGAGAGACAGGTGGAGACCATCCGTAACCTGGTGGACTCCTACATCGGCATCGTTTCCAAGAGTATCAAGGATCAAGTGCCCAAGTCTATCATGTTCCTGCTCGTGTACAAGGTACCTAGCTGGAGATGTATTGATGCGTTTGCTTGTCATGTATGGTGTTGGAGTGTGCTCCCACGTGTGCGTATGTATTTCTGGGTGTGAGTGTGTGTGTGTGTGTGTGTGTGCGCGCAGGCATGCGTGCGTGCGTGTTGACATAGAGAAATGCACTGTATTGTTGTTAATACTTACATGCGTGCACTTCCTGTTGCGTGGCCGGTCTGTCTGCCTGTGCAACGTGCAACCCTGTCTGAGGCTGTAAGAATCAAGCCCGGCATTCATACGCGCTTGCTCGCTCCAGCACATCTGCACATCTATGCGTATCGAAACGTTCACACGTTCTCGTGTATATGTGTGTGTGTGTGTGTGTGTGTGTGTGTGTGTGTGTGTGTGTGTGAGTGTGTGCGTGCGTGCGTATGTGTGTGTGTGTGTTCATATGTGCGTGTATGTATGTGTGTGTATGTATATGCCTGCACTTGTGTTGCAGTTGAAAGACTTCATCGCCACGGAGATCCTGCCCAATCTGTATGCAGTTGGCCAGGTAAGAGACTGTGCCCTGGAGATCTGTCTACACATGTACAATGTACTTCACATGTACAATGTACTTCACATGTACAATGTACTTCACCTGCAGCCCAATCTCTTGGGTTTATACTACCCACCCGTATAATGATCCAGTAGGACATGGCTTGCATTCATACTAGTGGTGTGCACGGGTAGTCGGGTACCCGTGCTACCCGTGAGGACCTCGGGTAGACGGGTAGAGAATAGTACCCGAAAACCCGAAGTCGCAGATAACATCATGTACAGTGCACGTGTACAGATTGATGTAATACTCCGCATGTCTACCCAGTGTGTAAGGGAAGGGGTGCATTGTGGTGTTACCATGAAAACATTACCCGACAGGGTACCCGTGCTACCCGTGGAAAATTATCCGAACCCGATACCCGAAGAAAATGCTACCCGACTCAGCACTAATTCATACCATGAGCTGTCATGCATGCAAACAAGTCATGATGGTTGCCACAGAATCTTCATTGGGGACCTTCATCTAAAGGCAAGGCAAACCACTACAGGAATGGACTCGGATGGAGAGCCAAGGATTAATTTATAAAAAATAAAAGGGGCAAAGGAACTACATGTACAAGTTACGCTATAATGTCCACTAACACCACCGTCGGTCAGTGTCGTGCAATGTTATCACATGAGCCGATTGTTTAGTAGCTGATGGTGTTAGTGGACATTATAGCGTAACGTATAGTTCCCTGGTCCTTTTTATTTATTTTTATAAACAAACCAGATTTTCTGATTAGTGGTGCTTGTTTCCGGAATGTCAGAGTGACCTTTGCCTTGCCTGACGATATCTCCTTCACTCCTCGTAGAGCTCGCTGCATGGAGAGGTAGGAGTACAGGAGCCAGACCACGCCACCACTCCCCTTATTCATGGCTCACACATGACGGGTTTACGCGGCTCTAGTAAAAAAAGAAAAAAAAGTTGATGTGGTTGTTGGCCACTGCCTGTGATCTAGCGTCTATCTCTACAGTGATATCTGATGGTTTCCATAGGGACACAGTCGGTGCTCTTCTAAGCGCTTACCATAGTGCTTGTAATGCATGCATTTGTATCTGTGTCTGTTTGTGTATGTTGTGTGTGCAATTACTGGATGGCCAATGCATCTTTTTTTCAAAATCTCTCCCTGTGTGTCTATCCGTCTTTCTGCCCCTGTCTGTTTGTCTGTCTGTCTGTCCGTCTGTCTGTCTGCTCTCTCTCTCTCTCTCTCTCTCTCTCTCTCTCTCTCTCTCTCTCTCTCTCTCACTCACTTACTCACTCACTCGCCGATGTCTGCCCGTGCAGTCTGGTGATCTGATGGAGGAGAGCCAGGCCGAGGCACAGCGGCGTGAGGAGATGTTGAGAATGTACCACGCCAGTCGGGAAGCACTGGACATTATCAATGACATCAACACCAAGACTGTGAGCACACCGGTACCACCGCCGGTAGAGAACAGTATTCAAGTGGAGTCAGTGGCCAGGCCTGCTAGTGATAGTTTAGGTATGATAAGACTGTTGCAATATCAAATTTGAACTTCACGGAGAAATTCTAAGTATTAGGAAATTAGAGGCCATATGCCTCGTACTGCTCTTTTCTGTCTGAAACTCTGAGTTTCGGAGCAAAAAGAGCAGTACGAGGCATGTGGTCTCTAATTTCCTGATAAGACTGTTGACACGAGTATTGTATGTACTTCTCTAACTGTTTGTGCTGTGGCTAATTGACTGCCATAAGGTCATCGTGCAATGATGTAACTGTTAGTTTGTACCTCCATCACCTTACACCCAGCTATCTGGGCATGGTCGTGTGGGGTGCTGGACAGTGCGTTGCTGATCCCAGTGTACTCGCATGCATTACTCACACATTCCGTATTTGGGGCCGAGGTTGTGATACGAAGAGTGTTGATGCCGGGCAACCTTAGTTGCTTCTCCACTGGTTCCTTTATTTCCCAACCAATGCTTTTGAGACGAAAGAGAGAGAGAGAGAGAGAGAGAGAGAGAGAGAGAGAGAGAGAGAGAGAGAGAGAGAGAGAGAGAGAGAGAGAGAGAGAGAGAGAGAGGGAGGGAGGGAGGGAGGGAGGGAGGGAGGGAGGGAGGGAGGGAGGAAGAGAGAGAGAGAGAGAGAAGAGAGAGAGAGAGAGAGAGAGAGAGAGAGAGAGAGAGAGAGAGAGAGAGAGAGAGAGAGAGAGAGAGGAGAGAGAGAGAGAGTGGGCTTTCCGTGCAATTCAGACACCTGACGGGGATTCATCCGCCTATTAGGTCTTGGAGCACATGCAATGACCCATCTAAAATATCATGGCTGATCATGGGCGATGGTTTATTTGCTCTGACGTTTTTTTGTTATCTGTGTACGCCTGCAGTGATGGGCCACCATCCCGGCCAACACGAGGAGGTCCCGGTCCCGCTGTTCAAAGAGCGCCTCCGAAACGTCCGTCCGGATCTGGGCCACCGCCTGCGGCTGCGGACGAACCACCGAGACCTGCTCCGCCGTCGCGGCCAGTACCAAGGTCAGTTTGTCAGCTTGTGTGTGGTGTGTGTGTGGGGGGGGGGGGGGGGGGGGGGCTTGTGTGTGTGTGTGTGTGCGCGCGCGTGCATGCGTGTGTGCGTGCGTGTGTGGACAAGATGACACGGTTAATGATTTTCATAGCGTCATACATTATTCTAAAGAAGACCAATAATAATCATATTCTGCTACTGTTCCAGTCCTTCTGTATACTGAAGGGATGTGATGGCTGAAGCACAAACGTTTATAGTAAAACCTGCCCTAACGGGATGCCCTTAGCACAACGGAAACTCTCCTGATATGACAGGATTCCGCTTGATCCTGGGTTGCAAGTTCGATCCACAGCACCTCGGTGCATGAAGCTGTGTTCGATCAAAACAGTATTCCGCTTGGTACAGGGTCCGGCAAACACAGTTTAACTGTATAAATCTGTATCTTCCATTTTCATTCCCACGCTGTGTTCTGCAGGCAAAACCGCCCAGCCGCACCTCCGGCCCGTCCTTCTCGGCCAAGCTAAGCACAACACCGCCGAAGACAAGCTTGGCAACGGTCGCTACTAGCGCTGCCCCTCACTGAATGTAAGATACAGGGTTGGTGAAAACTGCCAATGAATTCCTTTTTCCTTCTCTTTAGCACGGAATTATTTGCTGGGTGCCTCCCGGCTTTTACTAGAGAATGTTGTATCTGCTCCTTTATTCTGATTATCACAATACTACGTTAGTGCCTTCATTTTCTCCTTAGAGCTTGCTTTATATTATCCGTAGACGAGGTTTTTTTCCTCTAGTAAAGGGTTATCCACGTGAAGTTTTGCTGGTCTGAACAGAATCTGTATCTCCCGCCGGCGGCGACTGCCCTTGTCCGTAGGTGGTCTCTCTTGCCGTGTGCATGAGCGTACCCACCCGCCGCTACTTGCATCTGACGGTGCTGGTGCATCGCTTGCAGTATCGTGCTGTGTCTCCCCTTCTGCTTGTGTAGCTGGGCATGTTGCCTTTCCGCCATTATAGCATGCCCATGACTGTACATGTATGGCCTTGCCTGTTTTTTGTTGTTTTTCTTTTCTTTTTTGTTGTTGTCTTTTTTGGATCTCTGGCTGCGCTGGTCGCACATAGCCGATGTGAAGAGGTCCCATTATGCATGTTATCGTTTGTGTTGCTTATGATGATGAGATCATGCTTATGATGATGTCACATCATTCTTATGATAGTGGCATCCTTCTTATGATGATGCCATCATCATTGTTATTTTGGAATTCACCGAGTTGCATGGTAACGTTAGTGATGCCATGAGAGCTTAGAGCATCATTGGTATGTTATGTCATTAAAAGTGACGTCGGACCGTGGCAGTTGCTCCGTGTGGATACTTAGGAGGTGCTGTGTGATAATGGCCTAAACTGACCCTGATGTCGAATCTACAATGTAAGCCCACTACTGTTCGAACACTAATCCTGATCTGTGAGTGGAAATAGCCTGGATCCCCCCCCCCCCCCCCCCCCCGTCCCCGCGTGCCAATGCCAGGTCCATGTTTTTTTAAATAAGATCTGTTGTAAAAGTAGCAATGCTCCGCCATTCACGTGTTGTTGTAGATCGTGTACTGTAAAAGGGCATAATATCACTTGTCTTGCTAGTAGTGTCCGTGTCTGTAGATCTACTAACCAAGAATCTCTACGAAATTGTGGTCGATCTGGTTCATCTCCACTCTTTCTTGACATGCTCGTTCCTGCTGTCAGTAGATCCGCATACAAGACATGTATGTGGATCTACAATAATAATTCTGGCCAGAGAAGTCCAACCTCACTAGTACCGGTATACTCATGATGTCGAAATATTTCTCGGGCCAGGAGTGTAGATCTATAATATTATTATTAATATAATTGCACATCGTCTCCACCGTTTTTACATTGCATGAATAAAGTACACAAATGTCGGTTCAGCTAGTTTTATTGATTGCGGTTATCAAATTATCGTCTCCTCGCCGTGTGATTAACCCTTTGCATGCTGAGCCCCTTTTCTCCAATCCACTGGCCGTCCAGCGCACTGACTCTCTTGGCCGTTGGTGGAGTATGCACTCACAGCTCCGAACGAAATTTATTCTGATTTTACTCAACCTTGATGGATTTTCATCGTCCTGGGCTCGTTGGAAAGATCAGGACCAAGCGAATCCATCCTGGCAGCTCTCAGCTCCATAGACACATCAGGGCCACATCCAGGTCCTCTCCGAATTACTCCACCGTGCCTCGGAACGGCACAACAACTCAATTTCACATTCTTGTTCGGCTTCTTGCCCAAATTCAACAGATTTTCACAATTCAAACTGCGCTGCAAAGCTCAGATCCAAGCGCTTCATTTGATGTCCATCACGCATGCGCCGTGCCAAAAGGGAAATCCCCTGGCACGCTCTGCAACAAAAAGAAGTTATGAACAAAAAAATCGCGTTCACTCTGGGCCGTGATTTCCGTGTTCATCTTGTCGCCGCTCAATGAATTCTTATCCTATCGCGAAGAAATTTATACCCCCGGAAATATGAGGTGAAGGTCTTTCCAACGGTGTATTGATTGTCGCGATGCGTTTATGTTTGACGAAGTTACGAAAGTTTGTACACTGGTCTATGTACTGCGATACAGCGCGCGTTCACTCTGGGCCGTGATTTCCGTGTTCATCTTGTCGCCGCACAATGAATTGTTATCCTATCGCGAAGAACTTTATACTCCCGGAAAGATGAGGTGAAGATCTTTCCAACGGTGTATTGATTTTCGCGATGTGTTTATGTTTGACGAAGTTACGAAAGTTTGTACACTGGTCTATGCACTGCGATACAGCGCGCGTTCACTCTGGGCCATGATTTCCGTGTTCATCTTGTCGCCGCTCAATGAATTCTTATCCTATCGCGAAGAACTTTATACCCCCGGAAAGATGAGGTGAAGATCTTTCCAACGGTGTATTGATTGTCGCGATGCGTTTATGTTTGACGAAGTTACGAAAGTTTTTACACTGGTCTATGCACTGCGATACAGCGCGCGAATTTTTTGCGAGTTAACTCGTACGTAGTGGATCAGGTCATGCATAAAGTGCGAGTTAGGGTGGCTCCTATAGGCCTACCCCTCGGGTCCAAATTTTTTTTGTTTGAAACGTGGCTACAAACGATTGTACTTTGTTCCGTAGGATATCTAGTGTACGGAGACAAAATTTTATCAAGTTCTACCGGCCGGTTTCACTCGGGGGAGGGGCCAAACATAGCATACTCACAATTGCCAATTTAGGCCAAAAAACACCGGAAAACCACTTTTTTGGCCGTAGCACTCGTAGTTACCCCATTTTTCTTGATGTCCAACATCAGGTCAGTAGTATACTTGCTAAATACCAGCATAAGCTTTAGAAGTGGGTAGAATTCTGCAAGAAGGTGACCTTTTTCTCTTTTCGGAATCATCCCATTTCAGCGCACACGTCCCACACATTAGCCCCGCCCACAAGTATTTGACACTGGACTTGCCCTGTATTCGATGGTTATGCTATCATAACCTAATAATGGTACTGTGTAGCAAGTTTGAGCAGGTTCTACCGAAGGTAACTTTTGAAATAAAACTTTGAAGTGTCAAGTGATGCCATATTTTCAAGAATCAGCACATTGCACTGGGACATTGTCCAACGCCTTAGAACCCCTGACTCCACCGTATGACAGATACGTATCTTGCAATAATTGATTGCAACATCTTCCGAACATAGTAGTAGAGCTTTGGATCAAGTTTTAGCAGTTTCCACCGAAGCTAACTACCAAAATAAAACTTTGAAGTCGCCCACATACTAAATGCAATAGCTGAGCACGTGCATTGAGTGTATGGTCTAAAGGTTTTCACAACTAGCTCCAATGCGGCAGATACGTGTCTTACATTACTTGATTGCAACATCTTCAGAACATAGTAGTAGAGCTTTGGATCAAGTTTAGACAGTTTCTACCGAAGCTAACTACCAAAATAGAACTTTGAAGTCGCCCACATACTAAATGCCATACATGTAGCTGAGCATGTGTATTGAGTGTACATGTATGCTCTAGTGTTTTTCACAACTTTCTCCAACATGAAGCCAATACTGATGTGGAATTTTTTGACTGTTTTGTCCAAAACACAGTGCTGAAGCAATGCACATTGGGCACTTTCTACTGGTAATGCAATTATTATTATACAGTGTTTGCTGCCAACATAGCAAGCAATACTGCTATACTAAATGCGTATTCCATTGGGTACGGTCCAATGGCTTTTCACTTCGCATCTAGCCACTGTTCTTCGTGCATTACTTGAATGCTTAGTCTCCATGGTAATGAAGCTAAGAGCCACACTGGAGAAGTTTCTACTGAAGCTAACTACCAAAATATAAAATTTCCAAGATGCTTCTATTACATAAAGTAGCTGTGTGCAATGCCACTCTGTTGAACACAGTAAGCAAAATTGAGTCACTAAAACCCTATTTGCCAGATATAAGCTGTTGAGACTGATAGCAGCTGAGCTGTATGATCTGATATGGATGGCGGTTCCACACTGACCAGCACATGTACACGTGCACAGGCAGAAGAACACACAAGTAATACACCTAACGTTACTTCGAAGTCCATCATGTAAATACATGTACAAGCGTATATACAAGCATCACTCCTGTTCTCCACAACCTGCAGTCCTGGGCCACTCCAGCTGGTCAGAGTGCAATAATTTCTGCAGCAGGCTTGACTTGGAAAACTTATCACAACTGCCATGGCTGCAACATGAGTATTACCAGCGCTTTTACAGCGCTACTTGTATTATATTATTGTCAATCCATTGTGGTGCATGGCACTCGTTTTCAACAACCGAGTTTATGTCATTAGTTGCATATCCAACGCCAATAGAAAAAAGAAGGGGTGGGGCAAATTACCACGGTTCAACACTAGTCATATTGAACGGCGTTATGCCATGCCAGGCGCGCACACAAAACGCCCGCGCGAGTGCGCATGCATACTCACCCGGGTAACACACATTCGTGCGACTCTACATAGCCTGCACTGTCGTTCTATGTCATAGGAGTGAGTGCACACACATATGTACATGTAGATTGCCTAATTTTGCATACGTAATAAAATTGTGTAAGTATACACACATGTGCGTGCACATATAGATAGACTCAGCGGCATACGCATGAGTGTGTGCCGATAGGGCCACATGCCAATTATCGGATTAGTCTGTGAAAGTTGCACGGCACGGCAAACTTTCGAACAGTCTAAAGATATGACACAATGAATGTGGAATACCCACCAGTGTGTAAGACCATTTCATACCTATTTCGCAGTGTTTGTGATTTTCGGAACGTCCCTGTTGATATTTGATGTCCTCCGTGACTTGGTTGATGACACAGTCACAAATTATCAAATTCACCTCCAATGCCATCCAGTCTGCGTTCCGCGATACATGTACAGTGAACGGTGTTGAGGAAAGCCATGCAGCAATAAAACAGTCGAGACTCCCAAGCAGAGGATACAATTCAACAGCGTATTGAAGTACGAATTGTTGTAAACAATTTTCAAGACACAATTACAAAATTTGAAGTGCGTCTTGAAACGTGTTTGAAGTGCTTCGATGTATTTACCTTCGACCTCCCTGAATCGATCCATCCACAGCTACCCGACGAATTTACCAGTCAGTGCGGGAGATGATCGAGCAAGTTATATTTGAAGGTCGCGAAATGTCAGTGGCACTGGCAGGAAATCTACACAAGCGTATTCTGAAATAATTTTCAAAGACTCAGGCGTGATTCAAGAGCGGACTTTGATTTCTCCCTTCTTATAGTACGAGCACCAGTCGACATTGCATTCTTGGAAAATCTTCTGCGAGTGCTGCCTTCCCCTTTCATAGAAAGAACGAGTGAAGAGGGACACTAGCAGCAGGTTCTAGGTCGCCAGAATTGCAGAAAAGCGAGAAGACGTTTCCTACAACGATTGATCGCACAAAAATCATCGCTACCGAAATATTTACTGAAAATCTACACTTTTCAAACGATGCGCGCGCAGAGGGTGTGAGCCACCTTAAAGGGGAAGTATACCCTAAAATCAAATTTTCACCAGTTGTAGTCTTCGGGGTGCTGAGTCGAATGGTCTTGGTCCGAGGAAGCTGAGACGCTCCCTTCCTACTTGAATCCCAATCGAACTCGCGCACTTCCACCGAAACTGGGTGACTGCGCCCTACTAGATGGGGATTTGTATGCAAAATGTCACTAAAAGCGCCATTTCGTTCTTATAAAAGCACGGATGACCGCGATTGGCCCATATGTTGTAGTCTTTTGGACGCTGAGTCGACTGGTTTTGGTCCGAAATGGCTGCGATGCA